GAGCTTCATGAAATGGGTTTCCATGGCCGAGCAGCTGCACACAAGCCTAAGATCACCATGGGCAATGTCAAGCGTCAGCTGGAGTGGAGTGGTGTAAAGCTCGCCGCCATTAGACTCTGGAGCAGTGGAAACGTGTTCTCTGGAGTGATGAATCACGCTTCACCATCTGGCAGTCTGATGGACGAATCTGGGTTTGGCGGATGCCAGGAGAACGCTACCTGCCCGAATGCATAGTGCCAACTGTAAAGTTAGGTGGAGGAGGAATAATGGTCTGGGGCTGTTTTCATGGTTTGGGCTAGGCCCCTTAGTTCCAGTGAAGGAAAACCTTAACGCTACAGCATACAATGATATTCTAGATGATTCTGTGCTTCCAACTTTGTGGCATCAGTTTGGGGAAGGCCCTTTGCTGTTTCAGCATGACAATGGACCGTGCACAAAGCGAGGTCCATACAGAAATGGTTTGTCGAGATCGGTGTGGAAGAACTTGACTGGCCTGCACAGAGCCCTGACCTCAACCATATCGAACACCTTTGGGATGAATTGGAACGCTGACTGCGAGCCAGGCCTAATTGCCCAGTATCAGTGCCCGAGCTCACTAATGCTCTTGTGGCTGAATGGAAGCAAGTCCCCGCAGCAAAGCTCCAACGCCTAGTGGAAAGCCTTCCCAGAAGAGTGGAGGCTGTTATAGCAGCAAAGGGGGGACCAACTCCATATTAATGCCCATGATTTTGGAATGAGATGTTCGATGAGCAGAGGTCCACATACTTTTGGTCATGTAGTGTACGCACAGGCACACTCACACACACACTTTTACACTCATAATTTGCTGCTGCTACTCTGTTCTTTATTTTACTCGTATTATTATCTATCTGGATGCCTAGTCACTTTACCCTGCCTTCCTGTATAAATCTACCTCAAGTAACTTGTATCTCTGCACATTTAACTGGTACTGGTCCCTGTATGTAGCTCCATTCTTGTGTATTTTATTTTATTCCTCTCGTGTTAGTTAAACAATTTTTTTTATATATATTTTTTTTTACTCTGCATCATTTGGATAGGTTCGTAAGCAAGCATTTCACTGTAAAGTCTACACCAGTTGTATTCGGCGCATGATAAATAACTATTTGATTTTGATTTGATTTGGTACAAAATACCAAAAAGGTGGACTGCAAGGCTATAAGAAAATCACCCACGGAATCTGCTTTCCTGGTTTTAAGGTAAATATTTAAAAGTATATCATCAGCCTACTGTTGGTCAAAGTCTAAGGCTACGTTTACTCAGGCAGCCCAATTACAATTAAAACATGTTTTCTCATTGCAAGATTTTAAATAAGTATAACAATACTATAGTGCCAAACAGGGTTGAAGTTTACGTCTTAAATCAGTTCAACATTTTTAATTTCTCTGAAACTGTACGTTTTACTTGAGGCTTTTGAAAATATAAAACGCAGCCTTATATTTTCAAAAGCCACAAGTAAAACGTACAGTTTCAGAGAAATTAAAAATGTTGAACTTGGCTGATTTAAGATGTAAACTACAATCAAGATGTGTCAATATGCCATTTTAAAAACATTTAGAGCAAACATCATGATAAGCTTGCAAGCTGAGTTTGAATAAGACATCTGATTATCAATTTACATTTTGAACTGTTGGTTTTATTACATCTAATAAATAACCAAATCATTTATGCATCACTAGATAAAAGAAATTGGTCCTCAAACGTATATACCGTAAACTGCCATACATGTCAACACACTCCCTCCTCTGATTGGTCGAGTAGGCCGGCCTTCTGACTTTGTGGCTGTGATAACTAGTTACGACCCTGTTGCTTACATACTTGTATAGCTATATAGTAAAAAACACACACACACAGTACCATAGATAGTCCTGAAGGCAGACACACAGTGTGGTATGGTAGAAAGCCCTGAAGGTTGTCCCATGATTGTTGGAAGGTTGTAACATGTTGCGCCAGGCTGGCAGATGGGAGGAGGGGATAATAGCACTGCCTTGGCCCGCGCACTAATTGTCCCTAGCAGCTGTCACCTTGTATGGTCCTCACCGTCACTACCGCTATGCGCCCATGTCTGTTTGTGTGTGTCACCTACCTTCGAGCATACTCAAATTAGCCTCTTCCTGTTACCTTGGGCCTAGAAGCACTAGAGAGAGATTTACTTCAGCTATTTGCACCGTTACAGCACTGTACATAGGCAATAATATAACATTTGAAATATCTATATTATTTTAAATCTTTTGTGAGTGAAATGTTTACTCTTCATTTCTGATTGTTTACTTCCCTTGTTTATTTCCCTTTTGTTTATTGTCTATTTCACTTGCTTTGGCGATGTAAACGTACCGTATGTTTCCATGCCAATAATGCCCATTGAATTGAATTGAGGGGGAGAGGGAGAGTGAATCCAGGGAGTAAAGCTGGTTGATTCGACATTATTACAACAGCTGTTTAATATGACACCATTACAATTGGTTGAAATCTGTCTGTAAAGACGTCATTGCAACCAGTTTTGCCAGCTGGGGAAAGCAAGGATTTGGGTTTATACGGAGAAAGACAGAAGATAAAGAGATGACAGGCAACACATACACACACACTCACCCTCAGGCAGGTCTGGTGCCACATCGTGTGCGTGTGTGTGCCCCTACAGGAGGACAGCTAATTTACAGGCCACAGGAACAACTTGATTTCTTTCTTTCTCTTTCCTTCTCTCTTTCTTTCCCTCTGTCTCTGCCCCTGTCTCTCTCTTCCCACTATCTCTCTCTCGCTCCCCCTATGTGGTAGCTCTTACTCACTTCCTCTTTCTTTCTTCCTTTCTTCAATATCTCATTACTCCTTTTCACTGTCAGTGGCAGAAAACAACAGTCATCAAACATAATTTGATAATAATAACAAGCCTCTGAAGGACGCGCTACAGTATGTGTTATTTTTAACACTATTTGACAGTGATGTGTCTCTACAGCTCCTCAGTAGTAAGGAAGGCCTTGATACAACACCTCAGAACATAACAATGTCATACAGGAGACTAGACAGAGGATGCGTCTCAAATGGCACCCTATTCCCAAGATAGTGCACTACTTTTGACCATGGCCCATAGGGCTCTGGTCAAAAGTAGTGCACTATATAGGAAATAGGGTGCCATTTGGGATGCACCCAGATGTGAGAGACAGCCAAGACCAGGCAGTAGGAGCCAGTTATAGCCTGAACACAAACCCTCCTCTACGCTACGACCCAAACATCTGTCTCATCTGTGCCAGTCCACAGAACCATAGCATTTATTGCATTGTAAGTAAGTGGGCTCATTCTCATTCGCACCCAGTGTGTAATACGGCGTGCCCAGGCCCAGTGGTAGAGGTGTATGTGTGCTGCAGTGTCTTGTTTCATTAGGGGGTCAGCCTGATTACACGTGTGTAGCGAGGAGGAGAGGTGGTTATGGAAGTGGCCTGGTTATCACATGGGGGAGGGCCTTACACTCTATTAACCCTAGGATGCATAGTAAACATGACGCCCCAAGAATGCATATGCCGGGTCAAAATGACGCGATAATGTAATATCTGTGTTTTATTTATATGGGTCTAAAATATTATCAATTTTGTGGAACATCATTATTTTGAGTGATGATTTGGACCTTTCAATCATTATTTTATTGTTTGAAATGTTTTTAGTCGCTCTTCAACAGTTTGATACACATTTCAATGATAACATATTATGAAAATTCAGAAACGACTATTGAAAATATTAGCATATTTTTCTTACAATCAATCATACAATCAAAGTTTCACATTCAACATTTTAGTGTGAAGAACAAAATAAAATCACCTTAAGCATATTTTATAATATTTCAAAAAATGTATTTTAAAATCCAAAGTTCATCATCAATATAAACGACAACACTAACAATTGTGAATTTAGAAAACATAAACACTAAAAGGATCAAAGTGTGCGTGTGTGTGTGTCATGCTTACTTATGCTGTCTTAGTCCATGCATTTGTTACAAACCACAAGCATGTGACTGTGCTCTTTGCAGACGGGTGTGTTGAACTGAGAACACCAGCAGCTGACTATTCTATCCTTTGTGCTTGGTCAGAGCTGGCACCCTCTTCCTCTTCTGGCCCTGGCTGCTCTGAGTGGCGGTGGCATTGCTCTCTTTCATCACCCCACATCTTTCCATTGCCTCAGTTCGTCTGTGGAGATGGGAGAACCTTCCAGAAGGACAACCATCTCTGCAGCACTCCAACAATCAGGCCTTTATGGTAGAGTGGCCAGACGGAAGCCACTCCTCAGTAAAAGGCACATGACAGCCGGATATCCTCATATCTTCCGACCGACATGGTGGCCTTATACATTGGATTCTGCAGTGCATCCAAAAATAGCATCACCAGTCAGGATTTGGCTTTGTGTCATTCAAGGTAGGGTTTGGCCATGGGTCTTGGAAGTCAGTTCCTCTTTGCGCATATGGGTGTGTGTGTTGGCTTGGAGAGGGGAAACCGAGACCTTTCCTGATCTTGGGGAAGGGGAAGAAAGCAATCTTGAGAAACCTCTAGGTAACCAACACCCTAAAGTAAACACACACACACACATTTTAAATACTTTATTTGAATCCACCAATCAAATTTACAAAAAAAGGGTCCAAAATTTCAAAGGTCCCTGTATTTATGGCACTCAAGGGTACAGAAAGCACTTCCTTCTCCAAACACACATACATACACAACTAACCAAGACCATTGTGTCCTTTTGACCCAAACCCTATCCTCCGCATTGCTTCCATCCCCAACTTTTAAGTTTAATAGGCTCCTGGCCTGGGGCAACAAATGCAACATACAGTCCTTGTGAAGCAGTTGTCCTTGTTCCGATGACTCAGTTGGTTGGTTGGAGCATGGTTCTTGCACCACCAGGCTTGTGGGTTTGATTCCAGCATAAGACTAAAAGTGACCACTATATAACCATATTATCATTGTGATGTCAAGAGGTTGTCTACTTCCAATGTAAACAGGATGCTCATGTGGGAGCCCCACCCACCCACTCTTCCCACTGTGTCCATGTCACTAGGTGGGGAGGGAAAGCTAGCCACCAGGTCAAACCAACACCCAGGCAGACAGAGGCTGTTTTAGGCCCACTGTTATCATTAGGGCTTCCTACTGCACCACTCCATATTGTTCCCCTTTTAAAAGTTTGTTCCTGTTTTGGTCCATCGTCATCCAGGCACATATAGAGGAGGTTTATCACTGTCACTGAATCAGAGTGTGTGAGGATGGGGGTTGTGTGTGTGGGAGAGAAAGTGTTCCAACAAAGCCCTAAATATAGTGAGATTGTCAGTGTGACGTATTGAGGCTAAAAGCTGGTGAATAATTTGTCTATTCCAACAATTTCTCATCCGACTTGCAAACTCAATTATGAAAATGAACTGGGTTGTACTGTAGAGGTCTGAGCTCTATCATAGCTTCTCACTTCTGACCTGTAGCCCCCAGCTAGTCAGCTACTGCAACACCACCACTGTATTGTACCTTACCATATTCTCAGTATTTAACCAGGCAGATGTCCATTTGCAAAGTAGGTTATTGATTTGATTTCAGCGTGAAAATGAGGCCAAAGCAAGCATGGAGCAAAGGTCACTGCAGAGTAATGATACTGATCACAGTAGCTCATATTAAAATGTAGCCCTTTGCCCTGGGCTCAGAGTCTGTTTTTCAGAACATGAGCACTTCGTCAGTTAATTAATTTTTCAACCCTGATCTTTGACAATATCAAGCCTACTTCACAGTATCATGAACTACAAGGAAACAAGCACAATAACCGCTACAGTTGCTTTAGGACCAAACTGAATGCACCAGATACATATTGTAGCTAAGAAGGGTGTACATATAGACCTGACCAATGTTCTACCAACTGAGCTACACAGGGCTCATGTGTCTGAAGGTACAAACTCTGCAATCCCGGCAGGCCCAGAGAGCAAATCAAGTGCACTATAGGCCTTCCGCTGGCCAATCGGATGGCTCAGACGACCGTGTCTGCAGTAACGTAGCAGCCATTAAAGAAAGCTACAGCAAAGTTGATACCGTGAGATTTCAAAACGTTTAAAAACCAAGACTAGAGAGAGACTGTCAACAAATACAGCAAAGAGATGAGTTCATGTTTAAGTTCTCACTCAGCACTGTCAACACTTTGTATTCAACACTTTTATAAGACATAAAATGGGCGTTCTTCCTATTTCCACTCAGCGCTACAAGCACTGCTGCAGTAATGAATGAGTAGGAAATTGTATCTATAGGCTTGCGTTGTTGTTATTAGCGGCTTGTTTTTTAATTTTTTATATCGAGGAATATTTCACTTTCTCTGTTAATGAGGCAGAAGTAATGCAGTGCGACTCGAGTGTTGCCATCAGCTGGAAGAGGGTTTCCCTTTTTGGTCAGTGTCAGTGGAGGAAAGGGGGAGCGGAGGGATGTTGAGAGGCGGACCCTCAGTCTGCCGCTCTCTCCCTCCGCTGAGACTGACCATCAGATGCAGTCACCATCAGCCCAGTACAATAAAAAGCAAATGATTTAAATGTATGCTCACTCAGCTGTGCTTCACAAGTAATACGACAACGGATCTATTACCGGTGTGATCATATAGCCTACCTCAATTTGTTTTATATAATTTTAAAAAATGGCCATAACAACAATGCATTTATTGGCGAAGCAATTCAAGCAAAGCCAATTTGCAGTGATAATGTATTGGGGCTATAGCTTACTGCACAAACCTCATTGCTACAGTACTGTTTTTAATTGGTTAATGTTGCATATGCTTACGTTTTTTAAGTCATGTTAAAAGAAAATCTGAGCGGTAGATCTCGGCTTGCATTTTGACTCAAAGTGATCTTGACTCAGGAAAGGTTAGTGACCATTGTTCTAGAGTTTTCCCTGTTAACACTATCAACGTTTCCCTTTACTGTGGCAATTGTGATCGAATCAATGCAATATTAGCCACATTCAATGGAACATACAAAACGAACTATGCAAGAGTTTTGTTGTAGTCAGAACGCATCGGAGTAGGATTCTATTGCATTGACACGCACTACTCAGCCCGTACTTTACACAGACCGGTGTGGCATAAACTATCAGAGCTGTAGTAGGCCTATATGCAAATAGACCATTGGCATATATGGATCTGTGCCATTTACTTTGAACTGGACTGTGTTTACAGCATGAGCGGTCGTGTGTAGATGCGTTTGTTTTGAGATCAAAGTGAGAGCTGCAAATTCATATCCTTTGCTAGTTAGTGATTTATTAGCCCATTTATAGATCATTTTTAGTCAGCAATAGGGGAGTGTTTGCTTCGTACAAAAGCACAAAACGTGTACATTTCTAGACATCTTTGAAAAGAGAGTCAAGTAAAGAGCTTTTTTTTTGTCTTAAAGGGGCAGTGTTGTATTTTTGAGACAGGCTTGAATATGCTAAGTAGCCAATAGGTAGAGGGTAGCATAATTTGTCTGATTCCCTGTAATAATGGTAACCTCCTTGTCTGAAGGTTAATGTCAAGCCCTGCATGTTTTTTTTCTTTCAAAAGTCTCATGGAATGTAGGCCTACATTGAACACCACACATTGGCTGTTACTGTAGGCTGAATGATAGAACAGCTATTTCCATGTTAAAATGTTATGGGATGCATTTTCTCCATTATTTATGATGGTAGGCCACGCTGGTAGGCCTACATTATGATCAAATAGCCCCAGTAGCCTATATGGCCACTGTTAAAACTGCAACTTATAGTGGGTACAGCCTCAGTGTTCATAGTAAACGCGCGCTGGAAGTTGCACAGAATTGTCACAATGTTCACGTTTGTGCTCAGCACACCTGAAATTTGTTCACCTGCGATTTTATTTTGAGGGAACATTGGTCCTGACCGGGGCTTGAACCTGGCACCTTGCGACTGTCAACCCTACACCTTAGCCATTACGCCAAGAGAGCCAAACCTTTTGACGAGGTCGCTAGGTTGTAAGCTCACTACAATATAGTAGGTAACTCTAGTTGGGGGAGTTTTAAAGCGATGCTAAAAGTGTTAGCCCTGGGCCATGTGTCGTACAGCTGTCTCCTTTGTTAGTCTAACAGTCAGCATGTAAGAGACCTGAGTTGAATTATTCAAAGCTGTAAGAGCTTGTCCTGGTACTTAGTACTTACCCCATAGTTATAGCCCACCAGCTTTCTCTTTATCCCTCTCTGGGAGTGGATGGGAGAGATGGAGTAGTTTACAGTGGGTTACAGTACTATGTGAGATATACAGGTAACTGACAAAATAAAGTAAACCCCAACATAAAGTGTCTTAATAGGGTGTTGGGCCACCACGAGCCAGAACAGCTTCAATGCACCTTGGCATAGATTCTACAAGTGTCTGAAACTATATTGGAGCGATGGACAACATTCTTCCACAAGATATTCCATCATTTGGTGTTTTGTTGATGGTATGGAAAACGCTGTCTCAGGCGCCGCTCCAGAATCTCCCATAAGGGTTCAATTTAGTTGAGATCTGGTGACTGAGACGGCCAAGGCATATGGTTTACATCGTTTTCATGCTGATCAAACCATTCAGTGACCACTCATACCCTCTGGATGGGGACATTGTCATCCTATGGGAGCATAGCCATGGTAGCCAAAGGAATGGCCTTCCCCCACATTTTTATACATGACCCTAAGCATGATGGCATGTTAATTGCTTAATTAACTCAGGAACCACAACTGTGTGGATGCACCTGCTTTCAATATACTTTGTATACCTCATTTACTCAAGTGTTTCCATTATTTTGGCAGCTACCTGTATCTCTCTGACCTGGGGTTGTGTCCTGTCCACATATGTACTTACCCTACCCTACTATACTACCGGCAGCAGTTCCCTCTCCCTCATAAACCCAGTGTGGAGTGGATGGGGGAGATGTAGAGGACAGGAGTGATTTACTGTGGTTTACAGTAATATGTAAGTCATTTTCTATGGCCTGGGGTCGTGTCCAGTCCACATCTGTTCTACATCATCTACATAGCGTCTTGGCCTAGCACACATGGTGGAGACCTTAATAATAAAAGACAAAAACAAGTGTACAGGTAGGCATAGATACTGTACAGAGACAGACAGACAGATAGATAGACGTAGAAGACGGATGGATGGATGGATGGATGGATGGATGGATGGATAGATAGATAGATAGATAGATAGATAGGAAAAGACAGAGAGGCACATGCAAGTAGAGAAGAATGTGAGACAGAGCGAGAGAGAGGGAGTTGGCAGGCCAGTTTGGGGACGTGTTGCAAGACCGAGAGCAGGTGGATGTTTTGGACAGACGGAGAGACAGAAAAGACAGATGGGCAGACTGATTGACAGAACAACTTGATAAACAAGCCGTTTGGCAGGGTGCTGGCAGGGTAACGGAGAGAATGAGGGAACACGTCACAGGGGAGATTAACAGATGGATGGATGGATGAAGGGCATAAAGAATGATAGAACAAATTAGTGTTGAATTAGAGGAGAGCACCTGGCATCATCCGATCTATAATCAGACTATTTTACTGTTGTGTTGAATTCTATGCTAAAAGCTATTCAGCGCTGTATGCTAACAGAGTGGGGCATCAGACAGAGTCTTTGTGCTGACTGTGACTGTTTAGCGCTAATGCTAACACAGCATTGATTTGACTGGGTGCTGAGCGCTAGGCTGCTACGCTATTTAACTATTCATATCTCTTTGTTGACAATATACTGTATGTACTGTATGTAAATAAACAAAATGGTTATTATTATTTGCTTTATAGCTTTACATTATTAATATGTCACTTGATTAGCTTTGGGCTAATAGATACTCTAGATACTGAGCCAGTACACAAGTCTCTGTGCTACTGGCCCTTTGTTGAGTTAGCTGGATGCTAACTATGCTAACTCTCGCTCCTTCTCCTCTGTGTGTTGAGTTAGCTGGATGCTAACTATGCTAATTCTCTCTCCCTCTCCTTGTGTGTGTTCCAGGAAAGCCCCACAGCATCGAGAGCTCGGAGCGCGTGCAACTGTCAGGGACGTATAACGTCCGCAAAGGGAAACTCCAGCTGCCAGTCAACCGCTGGACCAGACGGCAGGTGATCCTGTGTGGCACCTGCCTCATTGTCTCCTCCGTCAAAGACAGCCACACGGGCAAGATGCACATCCTGCCCCTCATCGGAGGAAAGGTACAGTAAAACACAGGACTGCTGTTACTGACACTATAGAAATGGAATGACTAGAATAGACATTCCCATTCAAGTCAATGTTCTGTGACTGTTGGACCGGCAGCCATATTGAGTGTACTTATGCCAGGAAGTAAAATCACGAAGTTCATTCTAATTCTATGACACCAATGTGGCATCCACAAACCTTCCTTTACTGTTACATCACCAGCTTTCCATTTCCATTTGTCTTCATTCTTGACTCCGTCTCATCAGTGTGTCTTCATAGAGATAAATCAACAGTCAATATCAAATCAAATCAACAGTCTTGGTGAAGGGCCAATAAGCCATCGTTGCAAATCCATGTTTAATCTTCCAACATCTTATTTCATATCTGCTTTCCCCACATCAAGTACTCTATACCCTAAATGGATTTTCGGCCTTTATTCACTTTGTCCTCCAATTTAAAAGTCTTATCGTGGTTCTGCCTAGTTCAGGCTGGATCCTCACGAATACATTTTCTGGCATGGGATTTCACATTCAAATCTAATCAAATTGTATTTGCCACATGCGCCGAATACAACAGGTGTAGACATTACAGTGAAATGCTTACTTACAAGCCCTTAACCAACAATGCAGTTTTTTAAGAAAAAAAATAAAAGTGTTAAGTAAAAAATAGCAAATAATTAAAGAGCAGCAGCAAAATAAAATAACAGTAGGGAGGCTATATACAGGGTGTACCGGTACAGAGTCAATATGCAGGGGCACTCCCAAAAAGGGAGTTAGGGAACGGAGCCTTTGGTTAATGACTGTTGTGGCTTTATGGCTGTGTATCGGCAGCAGGGAAAGACAGACATGTCATGGTTGCAAGTCATGCTTGCAACCATGTTCATAACTGTATGTGCATGCATGTTCGTGTATGTCTATGTTTACGCAGCCTAAGGCCATTTAATATGAACATCTGAACCTTGTAGCTCGTGCTGATGACATCACTAAATTGAACCATGATCTGTAACGTGGAAGCCATTTAAAAACAGGGACTGTCTTGTGTACTGAAAAAGTCCTGTATGTGTTATTTTTTCCTATAGGTATGTGTGGTTTCTGTATGCAATCGATATTTGTTCAGTCAATTATCTTGTTTGTCTGACCGTGGAGGTGCGTGTGTTGTCGTTGTCGTGTCTAATTGGCGATTTGTTTTCCAAGAATGGTTATGAAAATGTCTGTTTATCTTGAATGTGTGACTTACCCTGGAGGTGTGAACTGAAGGTGTGTGTTTGTTAATTCTGTCTCTTGGCCTAACGGTGTGTGTGTGTGTGTGTGTGTGTGTGTGCAGGTGGAGGAGGTGAAGAAGCACAGCCACTGCCTGGCGTTCAGCTCAGCAGGGCCCCAGAGCCAGACCTACTACGTCAGCTTTGACAGCTTCACCGAACACCTGCGCTGGCACCGACACGCAGCCAAGGTACGTCCGTGTGTATTTGTGTGTGTGCAGAGGAGTACAGTTCGGAGTGGAACAATAGCTCTCTCTCTCTATCTTTCTCTTTCTCTCTCACTCACACAAACGCTCACTCTCCTCTGATCTCTCATCCAAACTGAAGTAGGCCAAAGCCAGGAAACCTATTTAATAAATATTATCAGGGACGAGCGTGTCATGGAAGCCCAGGGGAACACTCAGAATAGAACCTAGGAGGAGGAAGAGGAGGAGGAGGAAGAGTGGCACGAGCAGTAGTCAAGGCCTGGAGAGTAGCTAGTTAACCGTGTTCAGTAAGGGAAGTATTGTAAAGTACAGTAGTAAGGAAAGTATAGTGGAACTGGAGAGTATAGGACAGAGAATGTAGCAGTAAGGATAGTAAAGGAGAGCAGTGTTTCCCATCTGCAGTCCTCGAGTGACCCCATCAGTACACATTTTTATTGAAGCCCCGGACAAACACACCTGATTCAACTTTTCAACTAATCATCAGGCCCTCAATGAGTTGAATCAGGTGAGTTTGTCTGGGGCTACAAGGTGTGCTGTTGGGGGTACTTGAGGACTGGAGTTGGGAAACACTTTGGTAGAGGGTATAATAAGGAGAGTATAGTGGAACTGGAGAGTACAGTAGAGAGTATAGTAGTAAGGAGAGTATAGTAAGGAGAGTATAGTGGAACTGGAGAGTACAGTAGAGAGTATAGGAAGGAGAGGATAGTGGAACTGGAGAGTACAGTAGAGAGTATAGGAAGGAGAGTATAGTGGAACTGGACTAAGTGTTCAGTTGGTGTAGGACTGGCCATTATATGCTATGACAGATAACAGTAGATATACAGTAAATATACAGTAGATAACATGAGGAGGCCTGTTATGTCCTGTCTCACTCACGGTTGACTTCCTGCCTTTCTAATCTTAAGACACTTGACCTGACACACACACACACACACCCGCGCACACACACACACAATCCCCCCCCCCCCCCCCCCCAGTCACACACACAACCCAGCAGAGTCCAGATAATAATGTTTGACACCAGGTTTCCCCTTTCTCTCCCCTCCCCCGGTGGGTCAGATGGTGTCCCAGAGGATCAACTCTGTGGACCTGTCCTGCTGCAGTCTGGAGCAGCTGCCTCCCAACCTCTTCTACAGCCAGGACCTCACCCACCTCAACCTGAAACACAACTTCCTCCCCACAGACCATCGTCTACACCAGCTACAGAGGTAGGTGGTACGATCCAAGGGAATTGGGCACTCAGGGCTGGGCAGGAATGATATAGGATGGGATGGGTCTCAAGAAGGGGTGGGGTTGGCTTGTCCTGGTTAAGTTGCTCTGCCTGGACAGATCTGAGCATGGCATGGTTTGGCTTGGTTAAGTTGGCTTAGTAAAGAGTTGGACTGGGTCACAATTAAGGTAGGGCTGGAGCTGGATTGGGCTAGACTAGACTGAACAAGCCTAGATTGGAGTGGACTTGGCAGAATAGTGCTGGGCAGTGTCAGTGGCCTTTGGTTGGGCAGACTTGAGCTGCTTAGGACCGGGCCTAGCGGAACTGGGCAGGGTAAGGCTGGCCTGAGCTGGGATGGTCAAACAGACTGAGTTGGGCAGGACAGCAGGACAGGACAGGGCCTAGTTGAGTTGGCCTGTCTGTCCAGGTCTGAGTGAATGGAGTCTAGTAGGGTAGCCCAGACCTGTCTGCCTCTGCAGGGAGGCTTTTAATATGGCCTGGCTCCCTCACTCTCCCTCTCAGTACTGCTCAGTGGGCACCATCTGGCCCCAGATTAAAGCACACAGCCAAGATGTACTGGACACTGTGTGTGTGTGTGTGTGTGTGTGTGTGTGTGTGTGTGTGTGTGTGTGTGTGCGCGCGCGCACGCCTGTCACTGCCTGTCTTAGGAAGCTAGCCAGAAGATGATTTTTCATTTAACTGCACGTGCAAGTGTGTATGTATATTTGTATCCTTGTACTCTATGATGATAGAGAGACCGAGGACTAGAGTGGGGGATTGTATGTGTGCGTGAGAGAGAATATTGAGTTGCGTGTGTGAGAGAGACAGACAGAGCGTGTGTGAGACAGAGAGGGTGGTTGAAGGCAGGCTGCAGAATTGGGGCATGCAGAATCTTGAAACAGTGGGTTGCTGTTTGATCACTGCAGATTAGAGTAGTGTGTGCATGTGCCCGTCTGATCCTGCCTGAATATGTGCCAGGACTGTCAACATTATACGAGGCTCTGGCAAATCATAATTATCTGCCATTTCATATTCTATATCCTGGCTAATGCAGGGGATAATTCGAATTTAAAAGACGGACATGACAGATGAAAAGCTGCTAGTTTGGAGATAAAAGGATATGATGGGATATGGAGGTTGTTTATGTATGAGGGTTTAATTGCTACATAGCATCCCTGCTGGGCATCAGACTCACACAATGTACTAATGAGTATGACCTACATTAGTAGGGTCACTTGTATTTACAGTTTTTCTCAATTGCTAAAACACAATTTCTGAAACCTTGCTCCATTTCCTGAAAACATTAAACACAAAACCTCATCTTCAAGCACTATTTACAAAACCTCTGACTCCTTTTGCAAAATGAAACATTCGCCTCAAAACAGTTTTACCTGTGTTCAAAATCAAACACTGCTCTCAAATCATAAACAAAGTGATCAAAATGATATACACTCTCAAGCAGTCAGTAAACAATACACCGAAAAATAGATAACACATTGTTCAAAACTTAGTTACATTTTACATTACATTTTAGTCATTTAGCAGACGCTCTTATCCAGAGCGACTTACAGTTAGTGAATACATATTTTTTTTATACTGGCCCCCCGTGGGAATCAAACCCACAACCATGGCGTTGCAAACGCTATGCTCTATCAACTGAGCTACATCCCTGGGCCAATTGTGCACCGCCCATGAGTCTCCCGGTCACGGCCGGCTGCGACAGAGCCTGGATTCGAACCAGGATCTCTAGTGGCACAGTTAGCACTGCCATGCAGTGCCTTAGACCACTGCGCCACTCAGGAGAATCCGATTGATCTAAGGAGTAAACATGTGATCAATGTGCTTCTTCTTGTCTTTGGGCTGGGTCAGGCCAGAGCACTTTGTCGACATCACAAGCAATATTGTCCCTCCTGAGGCAACGGGGGAAGAAGCCTCTTGTAGCTCAGTTGGTAGAGCATGGCGCTTGCAACGCCATGGTTGTGGGTTTGATTCCCGCGGGGGGCCAGTATGAAAAATGTATGCACTCACTAACTGTAAGTCGCTCTGGATAAGAGCGTCTGCTAAATGACTAAAATGTAAATGTAGATGTATCCAGCCCTGACATGATTCCTCACCTATATCACCACAGGCTAAATCCATGGTTCTCAGGGAGAAGTACATTTTTAATCTCAAAACAAATTTCATATTTTTCCGTCATTGTCTTTTGATGAACGAAAACATGTTCTATCATAGTAGCTCAAAATTTATCAGAAATTACTACTCTGCTTTGCTCTTTGCAATTTTGTTTTTTGTTCTTCCTCCTCCTTGTACCCCTATTTTTACAGTACTGTACCCTGCATCTCACAAACTTGTCCTTTGTCTCTGTGATACTGTAATTCTTGTTCTTTGTTGATATGAACCTGCAACCAGTCAAAATCTATTGAGCAGTCAGTACTGTTAACAAATGGAAAGCACAATGTTCAGGGCCATACAATTTGTCCATTGTACAGTATACAGCCTACAATGCACTGTACTACAGTATACAATACTAAAAGGGACAAAAATCTAAGGAGTAAACATGTGATCAATGTGCTTCTTCTTGTCTTTGGGCTGGGTCAGGCCAGAGCACTTTGTCGACATCACAAGCAATATTGTCCCTCCTGAGGCAACGGGGGAAGAAGCCTCTTGTAGCTCAGTTGGTAGAGCATGGCGCTTGCAACGCCATGGTTGTGGGTTTGATTCCCGCGGGGGGCCAGTATGAAAAATGTATGCACTCACTAACTGTAAGTCGCTCTGGATAAGAGCGTCTGCTAAATGACTAAAATGTAAATGTAGATGTATCCAGCCCTGACATGATTCCTCACCTATATCACCACAGGCTAAATCCATGGCTTGCAGCATATTTATTCTGGTGTAGGGTTGTCTATCATACACTTTCCATCTCCAAGAGGAGAAAAACTCCTCAATCGGATTCAGGAAAGGCGAGTATGGAGGGAGGTACAAGTTCATAAACTGCCCATTGATGTTAAACCATTCCCTTACCTGAGCAGCTCAGTGGAAACTGACATTGTCCCACACTATCACATAGGTGGGGATGGGATTCTCATTTAGGTCTTGACCCTGCTGCTCTTGAACCTGCTGCTCAAATAAAATATATCTTAGAAGGTGCTGGGTGTTATTTGGCCCGAGTGTAACATTGTGATGTAGAACACCATGGTTGCTGATAGCAGCACAGATTGTGACATTGCCACCTCGTTGACCAGGGACTTCAACAATGGCCCGCTGTCCAATCATGTTTTGGCCTCTCCTTCTCCTCTTTGTTAGATTGAAGCCTGCTTCATCGACAAAGATGAACTCATGGGGTCTGTCCAAGGATTCCAAGTCAAATATTGTCTGTGTAGAAATACAATAAACTGTGTAGGATTTTGTAAGTCGTACAGAGACAGTGCTATACTGTAGAGTACAATTAGGCCTACTGTATGCACTTCTAATTCACATACATTGTATGTACTGAAGAGTAATGTCATTCACATAGTATGTATTAGTACTGTAGACAATCTGTATTACAGTAAATGTTTCTGAATGTACACTTACTTGCACATACTGAGCTCGCAGTTCTTTCACCCTTGGTGAGTTGTGCTCAAAAGGTACTCTGTATACTTGTTTCATTCGCATCCTGTTACGATGGAGGACACCGTCAATTGTGGAAATGCTCACACTGTCGATTCCCTGGAAGTGTGTGTTGTCTTGTATCACTCGTTCCTGGATTTCTCTGAGTCGTATTGCATTATCTTGAAGGACCATGCCAACTATAACGGCCTCTTGCTCCCGAGTGAATATAGCTGTCCTTCCACCTGCATGTGGCAGCCTTGCAATTCTACAAAAGGTAGTTGTGCAGTTACAAAACATATTTATGCAGTACAATACATACAGTGATTAACTTTACAAATGTCTATTGAAACAGCTGCATATAGTGTGGTACAATAAATTTGCAATTACAAAAATACAGTAGTATACTGTACCTGTTCTCTTCTCTGAATGTCCTTACTATGGTGGACATAGAAAATCGGCTCAAATTGGGTTGCACTCTAAGTCCTGCTTCCCTCATTGTCAGTCCATGGACAAGAACATGGTCTATGACTGTTGCTCGAATTTCATCAGATATTTCCACTCTTTGTCTTCCTCTTCGTCCTCCTCTTCCTCTTTCTTGCCCTCCTCCTCGTCGCCCACCTCGCATACGCACTCGTCCTTGTGCTCTCACATAGTTTATTTTATCCATTCTCAGACTTTCTCCTTCCCACCTTCAACAACCTGTTTGCTCTCTGAACTGGCTTATATTGGTTGTGTCGCTTCATTTGAAACAGGTTAAATCAATTTTGAGTGGTTGTGTTCAATCAATGACATTTGTTCTCTATTTGTATTTGATTGTTGCCACTTGTGTTTACCAGTATGGATGACACGTGCATTAGAGTGCAGAGTGTGTTTTGAGAATGAGAATGTGTTTAGAGTTTTGCTGAAAAGTCTAAGTGAGATCTGCAAATTGTGTTTTACCATGTGAAATGGTTTAAGGTTTTGACAACAGACTGCATAATTAGCTACATGAGTCCAGGCAACTGAGAACTTTGTTCAGCCAATGGGTTTTTGTGTTTTAGCGATTGAGAAAAGAGAGAGAGAGAGAGAGAAGAGAGAGAGAGAGAGAGAGAGAGAGAGAGAGAGAGATAGAGAGAGAGAGAGAGAGAGAGAGAATGACATAGAGATGAGGACATGAGAGAGAGAGAGTAGACGAGAGGAGAGAGAGAGAGAGAGGTGGCAGAGTATAAGAGAGAGAGAGAGCGAGCTGCTGAGCTAGGAGAGCAGAGATAGCAGCGAGAGCTACTATTATCTCATCGACGATTGCCTCTTCTGCGAGAGATCGCAGTTCTCGAGAGGAGAGAGGGAGGAGAGAGAGAGAGAGAGAGAGAGAGAGAGAGAGGGTGGGAAATAAAGAAGTGCGATTATTATTGATGAACGTTTGAAGATCTTGAAGAACGATCTGGCCTTAATGGCCATGTACTCTTATAATCTCCACCCGGCCCAGCCAGAAGAGGACTGGCCACCCCTCAGAGCCTGGTTCCTCTCTAGGTTTCCTCTTAGGTTCCTGCCTTTCTAGGGAGTTTTTCCTAGCCACCGTGCTTCTACATCTGCATTGCTTGCTGTTTGGGGTTTTAGGCTGTGTTTCTGTATAAGCACTTTGTGACATCTGCTGATGTAAAAAGGGCTTTATAAATACATTTGATTGATTGATTGTCACAAAAAAAATGTGCGTTTTATAGCGAATGTGCCACTCTGGACTTGGCACGTAGCTGTAGCCAACAGCTCCCAGATACAGTGTGGGTGTATAGCCTACATGATGAGATTATTATGGACAAAATAGCAAGATTAGTTTTATTTGTCAAATGGCAGCCAAGCATCGATCATCATGTCACCAGAGTAAGACCCTCAATATTTATTGGTTAGGAGCATCAAGCTCATCACCGTGCACTTTCACCACCCTGTGAAGTTCATCATAATTTATATAATCTGGAGCCTAATAAACGGCATTCTTTCCCGAGTCGTAGTGGGAGGACCACACAACATATCGTCGCGTGACTCTAAGTTTACTTCAATATGATGGTTATTATATCAATATTTGTGCATAAAGGCGTTTCCACCACCATTTCTTGCATAATTAATTGTACAGACAGAAAAAGATCCCACCTTGTCTAGCGTATTTTGTTTTATCGACATTTGGAAAGTTTACTGACAAATGTTGTGTTTCCATCAGGCCTGCTGTGACATTTTCTATCCAAAAGTTTGGATGGAAACCTGGTTTGTTCTCCTTTTTGTTTCCCTATAAACACTGGGTTTCTGTCACATCATGGCTTCTGACTAGTTAGTATTTTTCCAGGTAGTGTCCCTCCTCTCTCTTTCCCCCTCCCTCCCTCGTTATTTATTTATATCTCTCTCTATCTCTCTCTCTCTCACCTCCCACTCTCACCTCCCACTCTCACCCCCACTCTCGTCCTTCATAACTTTTAGGTAGCATTATAAATATGAGAACGAAAGAGACAGATAGAGAGAGGGGGAGAGATAGACAGAGGGGGGCAGAGAGAGAGGGAGGGAGAAAGAGAGCGATAGAGAGAGGGGGGCAGAGAGAGGAAGTATGTGTAGTGTTAGTCAGCAGATTTGAGCTGGTGATCTACAGTAGCGCAGGGCTGTCCCAGCCTCCTTGTCTCGTTCAGCTCCTCTAGGAGGACACCTCCCTCCCTCCCTACCTCAGCTGGAATTAAATGGCAAATCAATAGCCCTGTCATCTAGCTTCCCTTTTTCTTCTAACACATGATGAAGGGGCTGGCTCGCTGGCTGTGTGCGTGTGTGAGCGTGTGTGTGTGTGTGTGTGTGAGCGATTCAAAGCATTACCAGACTAAAAGGCAGCAAACTATGAGGTTATCAGCTTTGATGCTAACATGGCAATTGGCCCATGAGTGGTGGGGCTATGTGCCATCCCCTCAATCTCCTGTCCCTGTCCCCTTTCCCATGTAAGGGTGACTTGACTGAAGGTCACTGCTGTACCATAGGACACAAAGCCAAATGCCACTAGCCTCTGGTGTTGCTACTGACAACACACGCTCTGCCTGTTTTCTCAACATGACAATTCATTTGTATTTTCATTTCAACTGTTGAGTCAGACCACTGACTTTGCTAACTCCACAATATCACAGATATGTGATATTTAACAATTTACCATAGTATGACCGAGGAACAGAAAAGGTCAGTCGAAGACCCATAGTGTTTTGAGGTTTGTTTTCAACTTTGGGAGCATTCTAACAGAGTGCAATTACTCTTATAACAGTGTGGTTACATGCGCACAGCAGCACACTGCTCTTGAACCAACAAGCTACATAATACATATTATAAACTGGGTGGTTCGAGCCCTGAATGCTGATTGGTTGAAAACCGTGGTGTATCAGACCGTATACCACGGGTATGACAAAACATTTATTTTTACTGCTCTAATTATGTTGGTAACCAGTTTATAATAGCAATAAGACTTCTCGGGGTTTGTCATATATGGCCAATATACCACGGCTAAGGGCTGTGTCCAGGCGCTCCACGTTGCGTCGTGCATAAGAACAGCCCTTAGCTGTGGTATATTGGCCATATACCACACCTCCTCGGGCCTTATTGTTTAAATATACTAGTCATAACCTCTCTCTCTCCTCCTCCTCCCTCTTCTCCTTCTCTCTGCCAGGTTCTCTCGTCTGCGTAGCCTCAATCTCTCTAATAACCAGCTGGGTCAGTTCCCCATGGCCATCTGCGACATCCCCACCCTCACCGAGGTCAACCTCAGCTGTAACTACCTGACCAACGTGGACCAAACTGTGGGATCCATGACCAAGTAAGAACCAGGAAGTGTCTAGGGGTCAATGGCACCCTATAGAGTACCACAGTATGAGTCATAATACCCATAAAACCTAGCAGTCAAACAGGGAAATGGTTCCAATCGTTTTTCCACCATTCGTTTTTCCTATAGGGGATAAGCCTACACGAAACACATCCCTCTAACCTTCAACATGAAGTATCAGTGGTTAGTGTGAGTTTCTACCTATCTACCCCAGACACAGGAGACAATTGGATAGGTTCTGAAATATCATAGATATATTAAATATGTTAAATATTTCAGATGATTGTCTGATGATCTGATGGTAACCTGAAGTGTATGCAGAATGAACTGATAGGAAAAATGATAGTAGTTCACGTGGGGTGATAATTTAGGACAGGAAAGAGAAACTGTGATAAGGTGATGCCTGCTTCCTCTCAGCAGCAGCAGTTTAGCTGATCACCTCTCATCTAATGGAAGGATCTGGAATACAGCCTGTGAATTCCTCAGTATGCCCACTGAGCCTCAATGCTACTACTGCCACCTCCTGGTTGTAGAGAGATAGACCTTAGGATCAGAATGTGGAGAAGAATGTTGTTCAAAAGGGACTTAACTGTTTGTAATGAAGCTCTTTTGATTGTACTTGATCACCATGCATTGGACAGGGAATCTTAAAAGAACAGATAAATTGCTGTCTTCTCACATCATGCTCACCTCTCTCTCTCTCTCTCTCTCTCTCTCTCTCTCTCTCTCTCCCTTTCTCCAGTCTGCAGACGTTTCTCCTGGACGGTAACTGTCTGAGTGAGTTACCCAGTGAGCTGGGCTCACTCCAGAGACTGGGCTACCTGGGCCTGTCCTTCAACCAGTTTACCCACGTGCCTCAGGTGCTAGAGCGTCTGGTGTCCATGGAGAGGCTGTGTATGGCCGGTAACAGCCTGGACACACTGGTGCTGCAGAACTTCAGACTACTCCGGGTCAAACACGTCGACCTACGGTACGCGGCTAGATAAACAGATGTAGATAGACGGACGGACAGAGAGACAGGCAGACAAACTCTATTCAGATCCTTTCTACAGCTCATGTTAAAGAAACATTTTGTAATCCAGGCACAGAGTACACAGACATCAAGCTTTGCACCCAGGCCAAAACATTTGGTGTCCCGTTTTTTCCAATTGCATGTACAGTAATGGCAGATGCATGCAACTTGGTCACCAGATGAACACCATGCGTGTTTTGGCCATTCTTATGATCTCTACCCGGAATCACGTCTAAACACCTGGTGTGAAACATTCAATCTCACTGATGTTGGTCACAATCCAATCACAGAATGCTTATAATCCCATGCATGTTTAGACATTTGGGTGTTGCCAGCCAGACACATGTTTGACTGGAGTTATCGCTCTATCGCAAAACTCAAACATTGAGAGGAAACTATACTAAACTGTATGGAACAGAACCAGGCTAAACAGAAAGTCGGCATGGAACAGAACCAGGCTAAACAGAGAATAAGAGTGGAACAGAACCAGGCTAAACAGAGAGTCAGCATGGAACAGAACCAGGCTAAACAGAAAGTCGGCATGGAACAGAACCAGGCTAAACAGAGAATAAGAGTGGAACAGAACCAGGCTAAACAGAGAGTCAGCATGGAACAGAACCAAGCTAAACAGACAGTCAGATGGAACAGAACCAGGCTAAACAGAGAATCAGAGTGAAACAGAACCAGGCTTAACAGAGTCAGATGGAACCAGGCTAAACAGACAATCAGATGGAACCAGGCTAAACCGACAGTCAGTTGGCATGGAACAGAACCAGGCTAAACAGACAGTCAGCATGGAAAGTCACGTAATCATTACTAGACCGGTGTTCTCCCCCCTGCTTGAGAAAGAGCAGGCTTTGAGTGACTTAGCATTATTTGTCTAGTTAATACATCACTCCTCTCACACCGATGGGACATTCACTAAAGTGCCTCTGCATCATGTTCTCAAATTCAGGACCAAAGATCACACGTGATTGTAGCTAGAGATGAATATGGTGCGGTCTGTTCTTTTTGTCGGTCGGAGCAGCTTTTTCCAGTCTTTTACAAAAATATGTAGAAATGTGTTAGTGTCAGGTTAGCTGGCACGTATAACTGTTAATGAGTAACCCTGATGGTGCATACACAGAGATAGGGCCATTGAGTTCAGACCTTAGATTTTAAGTATAGGAGAGGAGACTTCAGTACATTTATTTAGCCACACATATGAGATATCGGACCATCTATTAGGGATTGTAGATATTGAATCAATGTGTTCATTTCAATTAAACTCAGATTTGATTTCAAAATCCCCTTAGTTGACAACTCAATCAAATATCAATCCATACAGACATTGATCTTAATCTGATGCCTGTGTCCAGAGGGTTAATTAGGCTACGGCCCATACTGCCTACTGTCCAATTATGCATGACCTCAAACCTCTGCCCTCTGTGCCATCAGGCTGAATAAGATCCGGGTGGTGGTTCCAGATGAGCCAGACCTTCTGAGACACGTGACCCAGCTGGATGTGCGTGACAACGGGCTGGAGGAGCTGGATGCTTCCCTCTTCCCCCGTCTGGAGGTCCTCCACTGTGAGAGGAACCACATCGCCACCCTCAAGGCCAAGGGCTCCATGCTCAAGGCTGTCTATGCACAGAACAACGGTGGGTCTGCATCCCCAGTTAGAGTCCATCTATGCCTGCTGTGCTTGTAAGGATGTAGTTGGGTGAAGTTGACCCTAGACGCTGATTTTGGGTCAGTTTCGCATTTTCCACACTAATGGTTAAAGCTGAGATCCGCGATAGATGAAACAACGCCACTGGCCGCCCCAGGTGAATTTGTTATTCTTTTTGTTTTGAGACAATGAGCATCCAGCATCATTGTAAAAATATGTTGGACATACTGTTTTTTATATACATATTGCACGTGCATATAAAAAACAGTGTTCATTGTTAGAAGTAACGTCTTTGTTGTTGTAATATCGCAAACGGACGTGGGGAGGGCCTGCTGCATCTGGAATTCCTCCACTATTGCCAGTGTCATTCTCAATCTCCATCACTACCTAGCTACAGCGTCTGGTTCCATTTGTCATGTCACACAGATTGGTGGTTTAATGCTCTCTTATTGTGTTCTCTTCTACAGAGCTACAGGAACTGGATGTCAGCCCAGTGCCCTCCAACCTCACCTATATGGACATCTCCAGGTGAGGCCAACAACTTCCCTTAAACACTCAACATTACTGAAAATACTGTACAGACACTTTCTAAAACCTAACATACTCACAAAGCCTCTTCAAACCTGACCTCTCTCTTCCCCTCTCCCTCTCTCTGTAGGAATCGTATGGAGGCCATCCCAGAGTGGCTGTGTGAGATTAAGAAACTAGAAGTTCTGGACATCAGCCACAACCTCGTTACTGAGCTCCCAGCACGGTCAGTCTCTCTCTCTCTCTCTCTCTCTCTCTCTCTCGCTCTCGCTCTCTCTATCTAGCGCTATCTACGGTCAGTCTCTCTCTGTCTCTCTCTATCCATCTCTATTTACGGTCAGTCTCTCTCTCTCTATCTATGGTCAGTCTGTCTCTATCTCTATCTATGGTCAGTCTCTCTCTGACTCTCTCTGTCTATCTCTATCTACGGTCAGTCACTCTCTCTATCCATCTCTATCTATGGTCAGTCTCTCTCTATCTATGTATGGTCGGTCTCTCTCTCGCTCTATCTATCTCTATTTACGGTCAGTCTCTCTCTATCTCTCTCTCGCTCTCAATTCAATTCAATTCAAAGGGCTTTATTGGCATGGGAAACATTGCCAAACATAAACTTCTCTCTCTCTCTCTCTCTCTCTCTCTCTCTCTCTCTCTCTCTCTCGCTCTCTCTCTCTATCTAGGTCTATTTACGGTCAGTCTCTCTCTCTCTCTCGCTCTCAATTCAATTCAAAGGGCTTTATTGGCATGGGAAACATTGCCAAACGTAAACTTCTCTCTCTCTCTTTTTCTCTATCTACGGTCAGTCTCTCTCGTCGGAGTGCATGCTGGGAGTGAGTCGTGAAGCTGGAGTGATTGTGAGAGCGACTGGAATTCTTTTCACTCCATTGGGTTTCGGTGTATATACAGTGCTATGAAAAAGTATTTGCCCCCTTTCTAATTTTCTCTACTTTTGCATATTTGTGATACTGAATGTAATGAGATCTTCAACCAAAACCTAATATTAGATAAAGGGAACATAAGTGAACAAATAACACAACAATTACATATTTATTTAATTTATTTCATAAACAAAGTTATGCAACACCCAATTCCCCTGTGTGAAAAAGTAATTGACCCCTTACACTCAATAACTGGTTGTGCCACCTTTAGCTGCAATGACTCCAACCAAATGCTTCCTGTAGTTGTTGATCAGTCTCTCACGTCGCTGTGGAGGAATTTTGGCCCACTCTTCCATGCAGAACTGCTTTAACTCATTGACGTGTGGGTTTTCAAGCATGAACTGCTCGTTTCAAGTCCTGCCACAACATCTCAATTGGGATTAGGTCTGGACTTTGACTAGGCCATTCCAAAACTTCCAATCTGTTGCTTTTTAGCAATTTTCATGTAGACTTGATTGTGTGTTTTGGATCATTGTCTGCATTACCCAGCTGCGCTTCAGCTTCAGCTCACAGACAGATGGTCTGACATTCTCCTGTAGAATTCTCTGATACAGAGCAGAATTCATGGTTCCTTCTATTAAGGCAAGTCGTCCAGGTCCTGAGGCAGCAAAGCATCCCCAAACCATCACACCACCACCACCATGCTTGACCTTTGGTATGATGTTCTTACTGTGTAATGCAGAGTTTGGGATGTTGTGGCAGGACTTGAAACGAGCAGTTAATGCTTGAAAACCCACACGTCACTGAGTTAAAGCAGTTCTGCATGGAAGAGTGGGCCAAAATTCCTCCACAGCGACGTGAGAGACTGATCAACAACTACAGGAAGCATTTGGTTGGAGTCATTGCAGCTAAAGGTGGCACAACCAGTTATTGAGTGTAAGGGGTCAATTACTTTTTCACACAGGGGAATTGGGTGTTGCATAACTTTGTTTATGAAATAAATTAAATAAATATGTAATTGTTGTGTTATTTGTTCACTTATGTTCCCTTGATCTAATATTAGGTTTTGGTTGAAGATCTGATAACATTCAGTATCACAAATATGCAAAAGTAGAGAAAATTAGAAAGGGGGCAAATACTTTTTCATAGCACTGTATATATATATATTGATTAGTTTAGTTGTTTTAAGGTTATCTTGTCTCACTATCACTAAGCACGTATAGGGGTGGTGGGATCGTTGAGGTTGTTTTTCTCGAGGGCGCAACCAATGGGTGGGGAAGGTTGCAATGGCCACTCGCGGAGGTTTGGAGTTTGAAAAACTTAGTCGGCGGCATGGAGTAAAGATTCCTGCTGCAGCAGGGTGTTCAGTGGAAGAATGTAGCTTAGCAGTAGGTGCTATCATTGGGTATGATAGCATAAAATCAGCCTCAAGGATGAATAGCGCTGTAGTGATACTCGTAGATTCCATTGAAAAGGTGAATAAGATAGTTGAGAGTGGTATTGTGTTGCGGGAGACACAGACGTCGGTATTTCCTCTTATGAATCCGGCGAAGAAAGTTATACTTTCTAACGTGCCACCATTTGTTAGAGATGAAGTGTTGGAGCGAGAGTTATCTCGTCATGGTCAACTTTTTTGGATGCAAATCTCCTTTGTGCATATGATTTTAAAGAAGGACACTGACGTTCAGTTTTAAGATTGATGGATTTGATTATGTCTTCTACGCTTCTACTGAATCAATGAAATGCTTTGGCTGTGGAAGAGAGGGGCATTTGGTACGTTATTGTCCCGAGAACGAGCGCGCGGAGCCCGGTAGCAGCTCTAGTGCTGGTACAGCTAATGCACCACCGCAAAGGGATGAACATGCTAAGGGTGCAGGGGAAGGGAGAAAGGAAGCAGTGTGGCTACGGGGGCAATTGTGGTAGATCAGAACAAAGAGGGAGGGGAAACAGTCGGTGAAATTGCGACTGCGGTCGCTGAGGTGGTGCTGGAAAATGAAATTGGAGGTCAAGAGGAGATTGAAATAATGGAAAAGGAAGCATCTGTTTTCAAAGTACCGAGGAGTAAGAGGAAGAATTTAAGGGGTGGTGAAGGGCCTAATTCTAAGAGGACAGTAGAGATTGATAAATCAGTTGAGGATAAACAGGTTGTAGAGATGGTGGAGTTTTCTTCTGGGGAGGATAGCGAGAGTGAGTCATCTGACGCGTCACAACAAAATAGTGAGAGAAATGGGGTGGAAGGGAGGTATGGGATTGAGAAGGTATGTCAATTTCTGAATTTGACAAAAGGGAAGAAATATATGCAGGATTATAATGTAACAGATGTTTTTCCTGAATGTGAATTGTTTATTGAATCAGCAAAGTTTCTGATGTAAAAAATAACAGGGGGAGGTTTGACAATCCTTGAAATTGCTAGACTCAAGAAAGTGGTCACGAGAGTGATAAGTGATGTCAATTCTAAAGGAAATGAAAGAGTTCGGGCGCAGCCTTAACTCTGTAAAGAGATGTGGTTTCTGGGTCTTCCTCTGTATTTTATTTTCATCCATGAGCAGTTTTAAGATTTCTTCTTTAAACATAAATGGGGCAAGAGACGTTAAAAGAAGAGCCGTAGTGTATGAGTTAAGAGAAAGGGAAGTAACATACGTTTTCTACAAGAAACCCATAGTAATATGGAAAATGAAGTTATGTGGCAACAGGAGTGGGGGGGACAGTGGTGTGTAGTCATAAAAACTTGTTCTCAAAAGGGTTTTTGCCTTTGTCATATGAGGTAGTTGAGGGGAGGTTATTAAACGTTAGAGCGAGGTATGAAAACATCACTATGTGTCTGATAAATGTATATTCCCCAGTGGTGGCAGCTGAGAGGGTATGTTTTTTAGAGACATTATCAAATACCATTGAGAAATGTAATACTGAGGATTATTTATTTATTGCTGGGGATTTTAACTGCACAGTCAGTGATTTAGATAGAAATCACAAAGAACCTCATATAGCCTCAAGGACTTTTTTAAAACGCTTAATTGTAACACATGAACTGTGTGATATTTGGCGGAGTCAACATGGAGGCACGAGACAGTACACATGGGCACATGTAAGAGAGAACACCATCTCTATGGTCAGGTTAGATAGGTTTTATTGTTTTGAGCATCAATCTCAGGTCTGTAAATCAAGTGTGATAACCCCAGTGGGATTTTCTGATCATTGTTTAATAACGGAGGTGGTGTTCATTAATGCTGTAAAACCAAAAAGCTCATACTGGCATTTTAATATAACTTTATTGAGTGATGGTCACTTCAGGAAATGTTTTAGTTTTTTCTGGGAGAGGTGGAGGTCTCAAAAAAACAGTTTTGTATCCCTTCAACAGTGGTGGGATATAGGGAAAATCCAGATTCAACAATTATGTAATCAATACACGATGAATGTCACCAATGACATCACCAGATCAATGAAAGCCCTTGAGTCTGAAATAGTGGAACTCCTGACGTTGGTTGAGACCACAGGAGGTCGAGGCCATACTCAGGCCCTCAAGAGGAAAAAAAGCTGCTTTGGCAGACCTGCTGGGTATCAGAGCACAGGGGGCATTGGTGAGAAGAACGTTTCAGGGAATCTCTGAAATGGATGCCTCATCAACATTTTTATTTGGTTTAAAGAAAAAGAATGGACAAAGAATAATTATTCATTGCCTAAAATCAGCTGGTGGACAGGAGCTCACTAGCCCTAGTGAAATTAGAAAGAGGGCTATTCCATGCCTCTGGTGCACAAGACGAGAAGGCAGTCTTGCCTAATACTGTAAATGTACTGTGGACTTTAAGTAGCAACCACCTAGCAGACCAGGAATGGTAACTGCTGGTGGTGAAGGAGACCAGACTACAGAGTTAAAGAGGGAGTTTACCCAAAAGGGCTTTGTAGATGAACACGTACAAATGTAGCTTTCTGCGCATATAAAGTGAGGTCCAACCCACCATTTGGTACAAGGTGCAATTTGTAATAAAGCGCAAAGATGCATGTAGCTCAGTTGGTAGAGCATGGTGCTTTTAGCGCCAGGGTTGTGGGTTCGATTCCCACGGGGGACCAGTATGAAAGAAAATGAAAATGTATTCACTCACTAACTGTAAGTTGTTCTGGATAAAGAGTGTCTGCTAAATGACTAAAATGTAATAAACAGAGTCCAGTTTCTGTAAGACAGAGGAGGCTGCATGCATATACAACAAGTCATCATAATCAATTACAGAGAGAAAAGTGGCCTGAACAAGCTTCTTTCTAGCCATAACCGGGAAGCAAGCCTTACTACGAAAATAAAACCCCAATTTCAATTTAAGCTTCCTCACAAGATTATCCATATGAACTTTAAAGGACAACTTGTCATCCAACTATATACCTAGGTATTTGTAGGATGACACTTTTTCAATGGATAAGCCACCAGATGTGACAATGCTAACCTTCTCTGGTAAAGGTCATGCATTTTGTTTTTTGTACATTCAAGACCAGTTGTAGACCATAAAGGGAGGCCTGCAGTGACTGAAAAGCAGTCTGGAGCTCTTCAACAGCCTGAACCAGAGAAGGAGCACATTATTATATGACTGTATCATCTGCATATAGATGCAACTTTGCTGGTTGCATCAAATTTCCCAGATCATTAATAAAAAAATTGAGAACAACACCTGGGGCACACCTCTATTAATCTCAAGAAAACTAGACTTGTGATTGTCAGCATATACACATTGTGTTCTGTCAGAAAGATAGTTCCTAAACCAATTTACTGCCCCTTCACTGAGACCAATGTTACTGAGTCTAGCTAGCAACAATTCAAGGTCAATTGAATCAAATGCATTTGATGAATCAAATGCATTTGATAAATCAACAAACAGAACAGCACAATGTTGCTTTTTATCAAATGTGTTTATGATGTAATTTGCCACTGCCATAGCTGCAGTTGTGGTGCTGTGCCCCGATCTAAAGCCAGATTGAACCCTGCTCAGTATGTTATTTTCAATTAGAAGTTATTTAACTGTGAGATCACTAGGAACTTTGGCCAGGATAGGGAGTTTGGAGATAGGACGATAGTTATTAGCATCTGAGGGATCTCCACCCTTTAGTAGTGGGAGGACATAAGCTGATTTCCAAATGCTGGGTATGGGATTGGTCAAGAGACTCAAGTTGAAAATGTGAGGTAAAATCTTTAGAGGTAGGGATCCAGGTTGTCTGGACCTGCAGACCTTTTAAAGTCTATTGCCTTTAGTGCTTTATAGACCTCAGCATAAGAAACAGGCTCAAAGTTAAAATGGTTCACATGAGAGCCTATATCATAGTTTACTGTAACAGAGCTTACATTAGAGGCTTGGGCCCCACCATTATCAAAAACTGAACCAGCAGATATGAAGTGCTTGTTAAAAACTCCTACAATATCAGCTTTATCCTTCACTTCATTAGAACCCATCATTAAATGGTCAGGAAGGCCAGAGGATACATTAGAACCTGACACTGATTTGATTAGCTTCCAGAACTTGGTAGGGTTGTTTAGGTTCTCTGCAACTGCATTTAGATAGAAATCTGATTTGGACTTCCTGATCAATCCTGTACATTCGTTTCGTAGCGCTTTGAAGGCGGCCCAGTCAACAGGAGCATTTGTATGTCTAGCTTGAGCCCAAGAGACATTTCTCTTTCTAAATAATTCTGCCAAGTTATCTGAAAACCAGGGATTGTCCCTTTCACTGATTCTCAATTTCTTCACAGGGGCATGCTTATCACAAAAGGACACACATTTCATATAAAAATAGTCCCAGGCATTGTTAACATCGGGAATCAGACTTATTCTGTCAATATTATGGTACAGATCATGTAAGAATGCTTGCTCATCAAACTGTCTAAAATGTCTTTTAAAAATATAATGGGGTTTGGCTTTTGTCTTTTTTGTATTTCTAACACAAGCAATTGCACAATGATCACTGACATCATTACAGAATATCCCAGTTGATGTGTATTTGTGAGGGGTATTCGTTAGAAGAATGTCCAACAGGATACTGTACAATCCCTCTCTGTATTCTCCAAATGGCTCTTTCTCAATAGTCTAAAATGGCTTCATTTTCTTGTCTCCTTTCCTTCGTAGCCACTGATAAGTCAAAAGACTGGATGGGTTTTCACCATGTGTATTCCACCTCTCATGTCCTGCCAGATCAGTGATCATGGAGGGAAGGAAAAAAGGAAGTTAGTTTAGACTGTTGAGACGCAGCCAGTAGTCTCATTTAGTCCCTCTGGACACTTAATCTTATATCTGTGTGCCCCCGCCTCATGGTCAGTCTTCTATCCCCCACAAAGCACCATGAATCAACCAGATAGCCTATCACCACCATCCCATCCTCTCTCTTTCTCTTTTTATATCACCCTCTAGGTCACTTCAGATGCTCCTTTCTTTCTTTCTTTCTTTCTTTCTTTCTTTCTTTCTTTCTTTCTTTCTTTCTTTCTTTCTTTCTTTCTTTCTTTCTTTCTTTCTTTCTTTCTTTATTTCTTTCTTCTCACTGTATTATCTCTCTCCCTTTCCCTTTCTCCCTCTTTCTCTCTCTCCTTTGTTCTCTCCCCTCTCATTCTTTCTCTTTCTCTCTCTCACGCCATCTCTCTCACTCCATCTCTCTCTCTCTCTCTCTCTCTATCCCCTATCTCTCTCTGCAGATCTATATTTTACTCAGGATGTGTCAAAATTATGAATCTTAGCTGCAGGCTCCACTAGAGGCGCTGATATGTTCTGTTTTCACATCTTCATCCCTTCCCCACCCCCATTCCATGCCTTCTATTACGACCCAGTTTAGACACACATCACGCGCGCACAAGCGCACAGAAACGCATGCACACACCGCCCCCAGTAGACCAGCTGCACTGTGATAGTGTGTCCGTTTGTCTTCGTAAGCACAGAAGGTCTTTTAGCTGCATTAAGCACAAGCCACATGTCGGTTTATCGCCAATTCCCTAAACGTATGTGTCTTCTTTCTGAAGAATTATCGGTGCATCTTTTACAAGCATACTTTCCTTGTCTCCACTCCTTTGTCTTAACTGATCTGAACACACAGACTAAGTGAAGGTAATATGAAGGCATTTTCTTTCACCTGTCCTGTTCTGAATTTCTTTATCAGTGCAGCTGGAGAAAAGGAGAAGAGGCGAGGAAGCCACTTGAGACTATTGAGTTGCAGCCCCTGTTTCTCTCCTCCTGTCTGACTCTGACCATTGAGATGCAGCCCATGTCTCTCCCATTGTGACTGTGATGTTGTTCTAGGTTGTGATACTGACGTCTCTTCACTCCCCCCTACTGGCAGGTTGCTGTGTAGCAGCAGTCTGAGGAAGCTGAGTGCGGGACACAACCACCTACAGAAGCTGCCTGAGAGAGTAGAGCGCCCACTACTGGAGGTGTTGGACGTACAACACAACCAGCTAGCAGAGCTGCCCTGCAACCTCTTCCTCAAATCTGACAGGTAGCACAACATTACAGACATATATTACATATAGGATGTTAAACATACAATGAAATGATTACATGGTAGTGAATGAAACTCAGTGTGTATAAAAGTAAATGAATGATATGCCTGTAATGTTGAGATGAAATATGATCTGTGTTGTTTGTATCAATATAACAGCATGAGGTGTCCTTAGGTTATTACCCCAGTTATTTACTAGTTATTATAAGTTATTACACATGTTAATACAAGTTATTACACGCTATTACTATCCCTGCTAAAATATGTCTAATGGTTGAAATACTGACATTAGGGCTCACTTCCTGTTTCAGTTTGCGGTGCCTGAATGCCTCAGCCAATAAGCTGGAGCACCTGCCTCCCTCCAGCCTATCAGAGGAGAGCAACAGCGTCCTACAGGAACTGTACCTCACCAACAACTGTCTGACTGATAAGTGTGTTCCCTTACTGACGGGACACACACACCTCCGAGTACTACACATGGCCTACAACTACCTGCAGACCTTCCCTGCCAGGTGAGTGGATAGATGTAGGCTACATCTCACACACACACACACACACACACACACACACACACACACACACACACACACACACAAAATAACTGTTTCTTTGTCTACCACACATACAGTACACTGTCTCTTATACATAAATACTCACTGACTATCCCTTTTCCTTCTCTGTAGTAAAATGGCCAAGTTGGAGGAGCTGGAGGAGTTGGACCTGAGTGGGAACAGGCTGAAGACGGTGCCCACCACCATCATGAACCTCAGACGCATGCACACACTCATCGCCCACTCCAACACCATAGAGGTCTTCCCTGAGGTCATGCAGCTTATGGAGATGAAGGTAAGTGTGTGTGCATGCGTGCGTGCATATGCATTTGTGTGTGTGTGGATGCGTGTGTGTGTTAACCCTCTCCTGTCTCTCCTCAGTGTGTAGATCTGAGCTGTAATGAGCTGAGTGAGATCACCCTGCCTGAGAACCTGCCTCCTAAACTCCAGGAGCTGGACCTGACTGGCAACCCTCGCCTCAATCTGGACCACAAAACCCTGGAACAACTCAAGTAAGTATTCTATTAGTAGACAAATTGTGATTAAAGATGAACAGAATCAAATTGAATTATTTATTAATTTGTCTGTGTACCTGTATTCCTGCACTGTGATCCTTTTAATAAGTACCCTCTCTCCTCTTCGTTGTAGTAACATCCGCTGTTTCCGCATCGACCCGCCCCCGATCTTCTCAGCCAATGAGGCGTCGGGTGGGCCGGCTGTGTGGAGTCATGGTTACACAGAGGCCTCGGGCGTCAAGAACAAGTGAGTAACATACTACACTACACTACAGGATACAACCACATCATGTGTGAATCAAATGGGCCACCATGGGAGAGCTTTCAAAACACTAGCAAAGTTACCATGGTGACTAAGACGAATACGTCAGTCAGTGAGGTCAATGGGGGGGGCAGTAGAGATAGTCTGGGTGGGTGTATGCACACGTCCATCTGTCCGTGTGTGTGACAGATGTGAGAGAGAGATGCAATGCTGGGGAACTACAGTATGTGTTAAACTCTAAACATCCTTGAGGGCATATTATTAACGTTTTGCGTGTCTGTGCTTTTGTGTTTGTGTAATGTGTGTGTGTGCTTGTGCGTGTGCATTCGTGTGTGTGTATGTGTTTCCAGGCTGTGTGTGGCCACCCTGTCGGTGAACAGTTTCTGTGGGAGTCGTGAGGCCCTGTATGGGGTGTTTGATGGAGACAGGAACGTGGAAGTGCCATACCTGCTGCAGTGTACCATGAACGATGTTCTGGCCGAAGAGCTACACAAGACCAATAGTGAAGAAGACCATATGACCAACACCTTCCTTGTCATGCAGAGGTATATATGGAACACACACACACACAGAGAGACATACACCTTCACATTTAGACAGTATCAGATAGGCAATCTTCTCCTTTTCTCTCTGTCTGTGCCACAGGAAGCTGGGTACGGCAGGGCAGAAACTGGGTGGCTCGGCGGCCCTGTGCCACATCAGACACGACCCCACCGACCCAGGCGGCTGCTTCACCCTCACCGCTGCCAACGTAGGCAAGTGCCAGGCCATCCTGTGTCGGGACGGCAAGCCACTGCCCCTCTCTCTGCTTCACAACGTAGGCCTGGAGGAAGAGTACCGACGCATCAGACAACACAACGCCATCATCACTGAGGTACACAGAGAGGGGTGTCAAAATCAAATCAAATTTTATTGGTCACATACACGTGTTTAGCAGATGTTATTGCAGGTGTAGCGAAATGCTTGTGTTTCTAGCTCCGACAGTGCAGTAATATCTAACAAGTAATATCTAACAATTTCACAACATATACCCTATACACACAAATCTAAGTAAAGCAATGGAATTAAGAATATATCAACAAATAAATGGACGAGCAATGTCAGAACGGCATAGACTAAGATACAGTAGAATAGTATAGAATACAGTATATCATATGAGATGAGTAATGCAAGATATGTAAACATTATTAAACTGACTAGTGTTCCATTTATTACATTGGCCAGTGATTTATAATATATGTATATAGGCAGCAGCCTCTAATGTGCTAGTGAATGGCTATTTAACAGTCTGATGGCCTTGAGATAGAAGCTGTCCCAGCTTTGATCCACCTGTACTGACCTCGCCTTCTGGATGATAGCGGGGTGAACAGGCAGTGGCTCGGGTGGTTGTTGTCCTTGATTATCTTTTTGGCATTCCTGTGACATCGGGTGCTGTTTGTGTGTGTGTGAGTGTGCGGAGAGAGAGGAGAGGTTATGATTGTATTATGCGTGTTTGTGTGGGGGTGTAACAGTGTGTAAGAGGCTGTTAATTTAAATGAAATAGTTCTCCAAATGAAATAGTACTGATATAAAAGCTTGTGATGCACATCAATTCCATTTCACTTTAAATTCTATAACCCCCGAAGGTTATGCAGGGCTCCACATTCAGGTACATTTGCCAGTATCACACCAGGCCAGTGGCAACAGAAAGCTACTTGCCTGAATGAAAAAAATACTGGCCTGGGTCAAGATCTGACAGTAAAGCGAATGATGCGTACATCATTTCAATTAGCAGGTGATCTTATCTTTCTTTTGGGCTGAGCAGGTAGCCTATACTATACAGGGTTCATACAGACATTGGCAAGTCAAATTGAAAGACTTTCAATGACTTTTTCAAGCACTTAATTGTAATTTTCTAGGAACTGCATTTCATATAGAAAAAAAACTCTCCCCAAAAATGTATGCAAAAAAGTAGCCATTACCACTTGAAGAATTAATACATTTTTAATAGGCCTTCCCATTGGCATTATGCATTTCCATTCATATTATTTTTACATTCTAAAATATCTCAGAATAATGTGGGCATTGCCTGACTAAATACACTGCATGCACCGTTAGTCCCGGTGCATGCTAAGGAAGTCTGTCCATGTGGTAGCTAGTCAGTCTAGCCATTTGAGATGTTGTCTTGCCCATAATAAGAACACATGGTTCTACCGCAACGAAAGCTACAGACTAGCGCAACACTCGTCAATTGAAATGTCGGGAAACAAACAAAAGCGTTCATAAAAACTAATCAGAACTGAAATCACAGAATAATTATATTGGAGCAGTACAACTTCTAAATTGGCTAGCCTACCATAACTTCAAGGACTTTTCAAGGACCAAATGCCTGATTTAATCTATTGCATGATGACTGATTTACGCATTGCAAATATTGAACCAAGACTTTGAACTTTTTAAATACCTGGTTTGCATACCCATTCTTTTACTGGTAGATATCATAACTTGGAACATATTTTCTAGTGGTGATTTTAGCATGTAAATCTTGGTGGAGCAAACAAAAAATATATGTTTTATGCATGCCAGCAAAGCCACAACACAACACTAAACATACATTCATTGCACTCTAACGGTGACAAACGGTGCCCACAAACTGTTAGGGCCTACATAAAGCTGTCCCAACAGCAGAGCTTTCTTTGCAGCACCATGGAGTGAATCCTTACCACCGCTACACCTGGCTATCAGCGGAGCCTTGTCTGGCAGGGAAACAGTTCATTCAGCCTCATTTACTGCCTTTTTAAAAAACATAGCTGATATGGCTGACTTGCTTAAACAAATGTGGTTTCTACTGACAATTGAGATGTACAATCTATGGCATAAGGGAACGACGAGTGGATAAGAGGCAATCCGTAATTTCGATTAAGACATTAATGAGCGAGCTAGGACGGACGTAGTCAATATAACTATTTGTTCAGCACTTTTGAAATGTACAGCGACAGAATTAAGAACATGGGCCGTTCTTACATTATTCTCCCTGTACACCAAGTCAGAACCATAGGATAAATAAAGGGGGCATATAAGCACACAATGAAAGCTCTTACAATATTCAATGATTACATTTCTCTAAAACAGGCTACTAACTGCTTACTACACAACATACACTGAGTATTACATTCTTGGCTACAGTATACATATCTCCCTGGCATATTACATCATTTATGCAGCAGCATACAATACATTTTTGGACTCACCTTGTTGTGCTGTGCTCACTTGAACAGGAAGGTGGCGCAGCGGTCCTTCTTGTGGACTCTAGAAAGAGACCTGAGTTCCCGACTTGGAATCCCGAGTTGCATGACCGTTCAAAATATTTTTTCCGGACTCTCCCATTCGGAGAGTTCCCAGTTCTCTTGAACTCACTGAAGTCTGAGATTTCCCAGTTCCGAGTTTTCAGTTGTTGTGAACATGGCAGAAGTCATGCTGGATTGGCGCAGTGGTCTAAGGCTCTGCATCGCAGTGCTAGCTGTGCCACTAGAGATCCTGGTTCGAATCCAGGCTCTGTTGTAGCCGGCCGCGACCGGGAGACCCATGGGGCGGCGCGCACAATTGGCCCAGCGTCGTCCAGGTTAGGGGAGGGAATGGCCGGCAGGGGATATAGCTCAGTTGGTAGAGTATGGCGTTTGCAACGCCAGGGTTGTGGTTTCGATAAAATAATGTATGCACTAACTGTAAGTCGCTCTGGATAAGAGCGTCTGCTAAATGACTAAAATGTAAATGTAAGGCCAATATATTCAAACTTTAACAATTGGATATCACGAAATTGGGGAGACATTTTTTTCTTTTTTTTTGGATTCACATGCAACACCATGGGCCAGAAGTTAGGATCTTGTCTCATCGCTGCAACTCCCCTATTGACTCAGTGAAGGTCGAGAGCCACTGCTTCTTGACACACTGCTCGCTTAACATGGAAGCCAGCCCGCACCAATGTGTCGGAGGAAACCCAGTCGAACTGAAGACCGCAGTGAGCTTGCAGGCGCCCGGTTTGCCAAAAGGGGTCGCTACAGCACGATGAGACAAGGAAATCCCAGCTTGCCAAACCCTCCACTAATCCGGACGACGCTGGGCTAGTTGTGCGCCGTCCAATGGGTCTCCCGGTCACGGCCGGCTGTGACACAGCCTGGGATTGAACCCGAGGCTGCAGTCGTGCCTCAGCACTCATTGTTGAATTTGCGATTTCCAACTTGTTGTGTAATGTTTGTCCAATGGCCGATGAGCACCGATACGTTTTATCTATAATTTCTCTTCATATGACAAGGATTGAAAAGGATTTGCCAGTAGATTGTCGACTTGATTCATGATGACTGCTTGTCTAGCTTGCTAGCTAAGATTTTGAAAGTATGATATTGACATGATCAGTCCAATCAAAGCTACTGTAGATATAACGTGATTTGTCGTCATTTTATCTGTGGCCAATGACCTTGAGCCTTCTTGGATGGGCACTTCTAATGTAAGTCTATGGCAGCACTCAAGGGGGCTTGAATATTTGAGCTCTACCTGTAGATTTTGTCGTGACGAAGTGGCCCCATGAGTGACAGAACACTGAGCCAATCACGGCGCAACTAGAGAAAATAACCAACCCCTATGCTCCCTATTTTCCGCTGGCTGTCCACAGAAAGCACGGAGCTAGGCTGAAACACCTGCATTTTGGAGCTGCCTTACTCAAGAAAGCCAAAATAACATGCGAAACAGGCACAAAAGAAAATAACCAATCAAAAGTCTGGACACACCTACTCATTCAATCAAATGTATTTATGAAGTCCTATTTACATCAGCAGATGTCACAAAGTGCTATACAGAAACCCAGCCTAAAACCCCAAACAGCAAGCAATGCAGATGTAGAAGCACGGTGGCTAGGAAAAACTCCCTAGAAAGGCAGAAACCTAGGAAGAAACTTAGAGGAACCAGGCTCTGAGGGGTGGCCAGTACCCTTCTGGCTGTGCCCAATGGAGATTATAACAGTAAAGGGCATTTTCATAGCCGGGCATTTAGAGGATGAAATAGCAGGTGCGGTAGAGAGAGGGAGTTGAAAACAGCAGGTCTGGGACAAGGTAGCACGTCCGGTGAACAGGTCAGGGTTCCATAGCCGCAGGCAGAAGAGTTGAAACTGGAGCAGCAGCACGACCAGGTGGACTGGGGACAGCAAGGAGTCATCAGGCCAGGTAGTCCTGAGGCATGGTCCTAGGGCTCAGGTCCTCCGGGAGGGAGAGAGAGAGAATTAGAGGGAGCATACTTAAATTCACACAGAACACCAGATAAGACACCAGATATACAGTGGCTTGCGAAAGTATTCACCCACCTTGGCATTTTTCCTATTTTGATGCCTTACAACCTGGAATTAAAATGGATTTTGGGGGGTTTGTATCATTTGATTTACACAACATGCCTACCACTTTGAAGAAACAAACAAGAAATAAGACACAAAAAAAAAGAACTTGAGCGTGCATAACTATTCACCCCTCCAAAGTCAATACTTTGTAGAGCCAACTTTTGCAGCAATTACAGCTGCAAGTCTCTTGGGGTATGTCACATCTAGCCACTGGGATTTTTGCCCATTCTTCAAGGAAAAACTGCTCCAGCTCCTTCAAGTTGGATGGGTTCCGCTGGTGTACAGCAATCTTTAAGTCATACCACAGATTCTTGGAATGACTAGGCCATTCCAAGACATTTAAATGTTTCCCCTTAAACCACTCGAGTGTTGCTTTAGCAGTATTCTTAGGGTGATTGTCCTGCTGGAAGGTGAACCTCCATCCCAGTCTCAAATTTCTGGAAGACTGAAACAGGTTTCCCTCAAGCATTTCCCTGTATTTAGCGCCATCCATCATTCCTTCAATTCTGACCAGTTACCCAGTCCCTGCTGATGAAAAACATCCTCACAGCATGATGCTGCCACCACCATGCTTCTCTGTGGGGATGGTGTTCTCGGGGTGATGAGAGGTGTTGGGTTTGCGCCAGACATAGCGTTTTCCTTGATGGCCAAAAAGCTCAATTTTAGTCTCATCTGACCAGAGTACCTTCTTCCATATGTTTGGGGAGTCTCCCACATGGCTTTTGGCGAACACCAAACGTGTTTGCTTATTTTTTTCTTTAAGCAATGGCTTTTTTTCTGGCCACTCATCCTTAAAGCCCAGCTCTGTGGAGTGTACGGCTTAAAGTGGTCCTATGGACAGATACTCCAATCTCCGCTGTGGAGCTTTGTAGGTCCTTCAGGATTATCTTTGGTCTCTTTGTTGCCTCTCTGATTAATGCCCTCCTTGCCTGGTCCGTGAGTTTCGGTGGGCGGCCGTCTCTTGGCAGGTTTGTTGTGGTGCCATATTATTTCCATTTTTTAATAATGGATTTAATGGTGCTCTGTGGGATGTTCAAAGTTTCTGATATTCTTTTATAACCCAACCCTGATCTGTACTTCTCCACAACTTTGTCCCTGACCTGTTTGGAGAGCTCCTTGGTCTTCATGGTGCCGCTTGCTTGGTGGTGCCCCTTGCTTAGTGGTGTTGCAGACTCTGGGGCCTTTCAGAACAGGTGTATATATACTGAGATCATGTGACACTTAGATTGCACACAGGTGGACTTTATTTAACTAATTATGTGACTTCTGAAGGTAATTGGTTGCACCAGATCTTATTTAGGGGCTTCATAGCAAATGGGGTGAATACATATGCATGCACCACTTTTCCGTTATTACTTTTTTAGAATGTTTTGAAACAAGTTATTTTTTTCATTTCACTTAATCAATTTTGACTATTTTGTGTATGTCCATTACATGAAATTCAAATAAAAATCCATTTAAATTACAGGTTGCAATGCATCAAAATAGAAAAAACGCCAAGGGGGATGAATACTTTTGCAAGGCACTGTAACAGACTGACCCTAGCCCCCCGGCACATAGACTATTGCAGCATAGATACTGAAGGCTGAGACAGGGGTTCAATGGTTTTTCTTTATTTTACTATTTTCTTGGTGGAGCAAACTAAAAATTGATTTGCATTTTAATGAGGGAAATAAGTATTTGACCCCCTCTCAATCAGAAAGATTTCTGGCTCCCAGATGTATTTTATACAGGTAACGAGCTGAGATTAGGAGCACACCCTTAAAGGGACATCTGTCCACAGAAGCAATCAATCAATCAGATTCCAAACTCTCCACCATGGCCAAGACCAAAGAGCTCTCCAAGGATGTCAGGGACAAGATTGTAGACCTACACAAAGCTGGAATGGGCTACAAGACCATCGCCAAGCAGCTTGGTGAGAAGGTGACAACAGTTGGTGCGATTATTCGCAAATGGAAGAAACACAAAATAACTGTCAATCTCCCTCGGCCTGGGACTCCATGCAAGATCTCACCTCGTGGAGTTGCAATGATCATGAGAACGGTGAGGAATCAGCCCAGAACTACACGGGAGGATCTTGTCAATGATCTCAAGGCACCTGGGACCATAGTCACCAAGAAAACAATTGGTAACACACTACGCCGTGAAGGACTGAAATCCTGCAGCGCCCGCAAGGTCCCCCTGCTCAAGAAAGCACATATAAAGGCCCGTCTGAAGTTTGCCAATGAACATCTGAATGATTCAGAGGAGAACTGGGTGAAAGTGTTGTGGTCAGATGAGACCAAAATCGAGCTCTTTGGCATCAACTCAACTCGCCGTGTTTGGAGGAGGAGGAATGCTGCCTATGACCCCAAGAGCACCATCCCCACCGTCAAACATGGAGGTGGAAACATTATGCTTTGGGAATGTTTTTCTGATAAGGGGACAGGACAACTTCACCGCATCAAAGGGACGATGGATGGGGCCATGTACCGTCAAATCTTGGGTGAGAACCTCCTTCCCTCAGCCAGGGCATTGAAAATGGGTCGTGGATGGGTATTCCAGCATGACAATAACCCAAAACACACGGCCAAGGCAACAAAGGAGTGGCTCAAGAAGAAGCACATTAAGGTCCTGGAGTGGCCTAGCCAGTCTCCAGACCTTAATCCCATAGAAAATCTGTGGAGGGAGCTGAAGGTTCGAGTTGCCAAACGTCAGCCTCGGAACCTTAATGACTTGGAGAAGATCTGCAAAGAGGAGTGGAACAAAATCCCTCCTGAGATGTGTCCAAACCTGGTGGCCAACTACAAGAAACGTCTGACCTCTGTGATTGCCAACAAGGGTTTTGCCACCAAGTACTAAGTCATGTTTTGCAGAGGGGTCAAATACTTATTTCAATCATTAAAATGCAAATCAATTTATAACATTTTTGTTGTTATTCTGTCTCTCACTGTTCAAATAAACCTACCATTAAAATTATAGACTGATCATGTCTTTGTCAGTGGGCAAACGTACAAAATCAGCAGGGGATCAAATACTTTCTTCCCTCACTGTATATATATATATATATAATCTATAGTACCAGTCAAAAGTTTGGACATACCTACTCATTCCAGAGTTGAATAATAGTGAAGACATCAAAACTATCAACATCTCTTCAGCACTCCACCAATCAGGCCTTTATTGAAGCCACTCCTCAGTAAAAAGGCATATGACGGCCCGCTTGCAGTTTGCCAAAAGGCACCTAAAGACTCTCAGACCATAAGAAACAAGATTCTCTGGTCTGATGAAACCAAGATTGAACTCTTTGGCCTGAATGCCAAGCGACACGTCTGGAGGAAACCTGGCACCATCCCTACAGTGAAGCATGGGTGGTGGTAGTATCATGCTGTGGGGGTGTTTTTCAGCGACATGGACTGGGAGACTAGTCAGTATCAAGGCAAAGATGAACGGAGCATAGTACAGAGAGATCCTTGATGAAAACCTGCTCCAGAGAGCTCAGGACCTCAGACTGGGGCGAAGGTTCACCTTCCAACAGGACAACGACCCTAAGCACATAGCCAAGACAACACAGGAGTGGCTTCGGGACAAGTCTCTGAATGTCCTTGAGTGGCCCAGCCAGAGCCCGAACTTGAACCCGATCGAACATCTCTGGAGAGACCTGAAAATAGCTGTGCAGCAATGCTCCCCATCCAACCTGACAGAGCTTGAGAAGATCTGCAGAGAAGAATGGGAGAAACTCCCCAAATACAGGTGTGCCAAGCTTGTAGCGTCATACCCAAGAAGATTCCAGCCTGTAATTGCTGCCAAAGGTGCTTCAACAAAGTACTGAGGAAAGGGTCTGAATACTTACACTACCGGTCAAAGGTTTTAGAACACCTACTCATTCAAGGGTTTTTCACTATTTTCTACATTGTAGAATGATAGTGAAGATATCAAAACTATGAAATATCACATATGGAATCATGTAGTAACCAGAAAAGTGTTAAACAAATCAAAATATATTTTATATTTGAGATTCTTCAAATAGCCTGTCATCTTTGCCTTGATGACAGGTTTACACACTCTTGGCATCTCTCAACCTGCTTCATGAGGTTAGTCACCTGGAATGCATTTCAATTAACATCTGTGCCTTGTTAAAAGTTAATTTGTGGAATTTCTTTCCTTCTTAATGCGTTTGAGCTAATCAGTTGTGTTGTGACAAGGTAGGGAGGGTATACAGAAGATAGCCCTATTTGGTAAAAGACCAAGTCCATATTATGGCAAGAACAGCTCAAATAAGCAAAGAGAAACGACATCCATCGTTACTTTAAGACATGAAGGTCAGTCAATACGGAACATTGAAAGATCTTTGAACGTTTTTTCAAGTGCAGTCGCAAAAACCATCAAGCGCTATTATGACACGAGCCAAGAAACATGAGCAATGGACATTAGACCGGTGGAAATCTGTCCTTTGGTCTGATCAACCGCCGTGTCTTTGTGAGATGCAGAGTAGGTGAACGGATGATCTCCGCATGTGTGGTTCCCACCGTGAGGTGTGATTGTGTGGGGGTGCTTTGCTGGTGATTTATTTATAGTTCAAGGCACACTTAACCAGCATGACTACCACAGCATTCTGCAGCGATACGCCATCCCATCTGGTTTGCGATTAGAAGAATCTAAAATATATTTTGATTTGTTTAACACTTTTTTGATTACTACATGATTCCATATGTGTTATTTCATAGTTTTGATGTCTTCACTATTATTTTACAATGGTAGAGCACGGCGCTTGTAACGCCAAGGTAGTGGGTTCGATCCCCGGGACCACCCATACACACAAAAAAAAATGTATGCACGCATGACTGTAAGTCGCTTTGGATAAAAGCGTCTGCTAAATGGCATATTATTATATTATAAATGTAGAAAATAGTAAAAATAAAGAAAAATCCTTGAATGAGTAGGTATGTCCAAACTTTTGACTGGTATTGTATATACATATATATATATATTTTTTTAAAGCTAAACAGAGCCCCACCTGCCCTGAATGACGCGTCGCCAATGTTACTACCACTTTCTTACCCTGTTGTTGTTCTTCGTTGAGCTGCAACCTGCAACAACCAGCTTTTTGACAGCTGCACGCACTCTGCCTGACAGATTATCTCAAACTGCACTATAGGCTGTGTGCGGCTCCCGTGTGATTAATCATCGACATAACGAACTAATAGCTTGGGAATTCATCTGTTTTTAATCAATTATGTAGCCTAGATTAAAATAGCATTATTACGATATTGTTTTCATTGGCCCAAGCGGGCCACTGACGGAGATAATCGACTGGCCCGGAGGGTTTCAAAAACGTCCCCGGGCCAGCGGGTAACCCTGAATGTCGAGCCCTGTTATGTGATTTTGAAGTCTAGTTCATCATTGATACCACACTTAATTACGTTTCTCTTTTAATTGAATTTCCTTTTGAATTTTGAACTGAACTTTAATCTTTGTGTGTGTATGTATGTGTTAGAAATACTAACTGCTCCCACTGTAAACATACTGTGTGTGTATATGTTTCTCGGAGGGGTTGGGATAAAGCAGAAGACAAGTTTCTGTTGGACATTTAATGACATTGGACAATAAAGTAATCATCTTCTTCTTCCTCTACCCCTCTAGGACAACAAGGTGAATGGAGTGACAGACTCCACCCGCATCATGGGCTACTCCTTCCTGTACCCGGCGGTGATTCCACGGCCCTACGTCTTCACGGTAACCCTCACCCCGCAGGATGAGTTCTTCATCCTGGGCAGCCGGGGCTTGTGGGATTCTGTGTCGCAGTCGGAGGCGGTGGAGGCTGTTCGTAACGTTCCAGATGGCCTGGCTGCAGCCAAGAAGCTGTGTACGCTGGCCCAGGGCTACGGTTGCACCGACAGTCTCTGTGCCGTGGTGGTCCAGCTCTCTGTGAGTGAGGACTGCTGCTCCTGCTGCTGCAGCGACCCTCCCCAGCCGCCCCCCAGCCCCAGCCTGGGCGGCTACCCCTCCTCGGGGGGTTCATCGATAAAGGAGCGGCCCACAGGGGATGGCTCCCTCCCGGTCCCGCCGTCGTCTTGTAGCGAGATAAGCAGTGAGATCAGTACCAGTGAGATGAGCAGCGAGGTGGGATCCACAGCCTCCTCTGACGAGCCTCCCCAGAGCTCCCTGGTGCTGCTGCACGAACAGCCCCACCACCAACTGCACCACCAGGCCCACCAGCTCTCCCTCCAGGCCCAGCACGCCGCCCAGCCCTGCCCATACCCTCACCCAGGCTCAGAGCTCCCTGCCCGGGGTTGCTGTGCTCTCCACCCTGCCTGTCTGAGCGGCTCCTTCCAGAGGCAGCTGTCCAGTGCCACCTTCTCCAGCGCGCTGTCTGACAATGGGCTGGACAGTGAGGACGAGGAGCCCATAGCCGGGGTCTTTTCCAACGGGAGCAGAGTGGAGGTGGAGGCCGACATCCACTGCCTTAGGGCTGAGGCCTCTTTATCATCATCATCCGGATGGGAACGCCTGCTGGCCCTTCCTCCACCTCCTCCACCCTGCACCCCGGAACCTCTAGAGGAAGGGGTGGAGCTGATCTTGGGGGAGGCAGAGACAAGGGAGCATAGAGAGGAGGGCTGGTCAGTGGGGTCTGGCAGAAAGGGTGATGATGGGAAGATCCTTGGCAAGAGAAGGGGGAATGGCTCGGTGGCCCCTCAGGAGAATAGCCACAACCTGATTGAGGTAGCAGCAGACGCCCCTTCTAAGAAGGGCGGAGGGTATTTCACAGCCCCCGCCCAGCCCGACCCGGACGACCAGTTCATCATCCCTCCAGAGCTGGAGGAGGAAGTCAAGGAGATTATGAAGCAGCATCAGCAGAAACAACAGAAACCACCTAGCCCCGACCAGCCTGCAGACTACTACGACACACCCCTCTGAGCAGACACACCCCCTACTGCAGTCTACTACAAATCTCCACTATGTTCCTGCAGATTACTAGGACACACCCCTGATAAATCCCTACAGTGGATAATCTCTACGGAGTCTGCAGACTAGCTGAGTAACCTATGTATCTGAAAAACAGCACCTTGTTGAGCAGTCAACAGACTACAAGCACTCAACCCCTTCCTGAGACCACATCACTGGATTACCATGTACTGTAACCTGCTCCACCCCTTTCCCCAAAATGGCCTATAGGATAGGACATGTAAATGAGACCTTTAAGATAACCGAACCCTATAGGAATCCTGCTTATGGACACAACTTTTATGGTCCAAAGTAGTTCCACTACTACTCACAGACAGATTGTACGGGAAGTTGTTTTTACATTCGACAACAAACCTATGAGTACCTATGTAATCAACACTAGTCTATCTTGCAGTAGGGTTAGCCTACCACAACACACAGTTAATATGGATAATATGATTACTTTTTTTATTTTTACTTACCATATCTTTTAATGTGAAGAAAATTAAGTCACTTTTTAAAAATTAAACACACAGACACAATCTTTTTATTATCAATGAAATACGTTTGAATGGTACACACCAATATTAACACGCTTAACTTTTGTAGATAGGGCACTTAATGATACTGTATTTCTTCAGCAAATCCTGGCTCTTGGCCTGTAAAAAGGCATAGAAATTTTGGTAGAAATTTGAAAGACTAACTCCTAGGAGTTGCATACTCTTTATGGTGACCTAGTCACTTTTACTAATCTTCTCTGAGAGAAATTGTGATTTTTTTCCAATGATTGTAAATAAGAGAAATGTTATATACTGATGCTTTTAAAGGAACTGTGTACCCATATGTCTGTGGATGGATTTAGTGGTGTGGATGGGGTTGTGGGTCAGACCAGGTTTAGCCATTGTGGAGATTTCACCTTCTTTTCTCTCCTAGACACACATACAGAAATATGCTCAATACACACACATAGATACACACACACACACACACACACACACACACACACACACACACACACACACACACACACACACACACCCTATTATACAGTACAAGCACACACAATTCACCATGGTTCTTCTCTTTCAGTTCTGTTGTTACATCTTGGTTAGTCAGCAGTCCCTCTAGTGTGCTCACAACACACACACACACACACACACACACACACACACACACACACACACACACACACACAGTAGAATACATACACACAGTATTCCGTCCCACCTCCCTCCTAACTGTTATCACCGGCATGACTGTGTCCAGTTCAGTAATGCAAACAAATACTATATCCACATGGAAAGGAAACCACACAAACATTTCTGTCTTTGGTATAATAAATCTTACATTTGTGAATATGAGCTTTGTTGTTCTGGTGGTATTTTATATTTTTAATTCTCTCTTCTGAATGTATTTGACACACATGTGTGTCTGATATAATTTAGCTAAGTATTTCCCCCCCCCCCGCCCCATTTTCAATGTAAGGCCCTCTTTCATTTTGCAGATGCAAATATAACTGCAAAGGCCACACAATTGTAAGTTAATATAAACTAAAAAACAGCCTGAAGTGCTGCTAGTAGCATTCAATTAGACTTTACTGTACCATTTTTTGTATTTACATTTTACAACACATTACGTATTGTTATCAAGAAAGGCAGGATAATAATATCTTTATTGTTCCACAACTGTCATACAGATTGAGTACATTTAATATCATACAGGTGTATGTGCACCTTATGACCAGAAGAGGTCAATATTGTGAAATGTTTTTATTAGCACTACCTCACTGAATCTCTTTTGAAACTAACCATAGAAGCACTGTAACGATATGCCCCTGAAACCATCCATTCTATGACTGCAACTATAGAAAAAATTGTATTAATCATATTTCAAAAATTAAATTATCTGTATTTAAAACTATTAAGAGCCTTGTATGATGAAAATGACATGACAGCAACAGTAATGCAGCATCTGCCCTAAACAATACTGTACGCACACTTCATAGCATATTTATCTCTCTAACCGTTTGTCCTTCTTCATTACATCTACTTAATGCTGGCCATGGGTAGTTTTGGTGCTGGCAGGGAGAAAACACACTAACGCTGACATTGGACATTGTGATGCCCCTGTCTCCTCCACCACCGCTGTTCTTGTACTCCTCTTCACACATGCCAAACTGTCCACTGTCACCACCAACATGTCACCCAGCATAGAGAAAGAGGCTATCAGCGCTGTGGTCACTGTGTCCTGGGTGGAGCCCAGATACTGACAATTCTTTCCATAGTACCACCAGTCATCACCAACATCATATACAGCACCAGTCAAAAGTTTGGACACCTACTCATTCAATGGTTTTTCTTTATTTTTACTATTTTCTACATTGTAGAATAATAGTGAAGACATCAAAACTATGAAATAACACATATGGAATCGTATAGTTACCTAAAAAGTGTTAAAACCTTGGAATGAGTTGGTGTGTCCAAACTTTTGACTGGTACTATACGTGATGAGATGAGGACGAGCACATATAGTATTAACATAGAAATGAATGTACAGACACGGATGGGATTGGATAGCATGATTGGTTATAGGAATGGCGAGTGGGTGTGAATTGGTAATGAACCTTCATATGATGTGGACGTGTTGGTAAATAGGAGGACCATGGTATTTGAATGAGTGTGATGATAACCAAAAAGGTAGTGTTAATGGGATATATATATATATGGAATATGGTATGCTAAACATAGAGAGAATCGTTCATGCTTTCAGAAAATGTAGAGAATAGTTTTAGCATGTTTTTTATAATATTAGCATTTCAGTAGCCTGGTCCCAGATCTGTTTGTGCAATCTTGTCAAACGTGGCAATGACCATAGTAGTTGGCGAGAAAGCAATTAACAGATCTGGGACCAGTGGAACTTTTCAGGGCTTCTTACCCTCCATGATGAGCAGGAAGATTGTGTCTCCCCCTTGATGAAGTCCCTGCTCTTGGCCCTGCCATGGGCCAGGAACACGGGTGTCCCGGTGCCCGGCCCATGGAAATATTTGGTCCCATCCGTCTCTGATACCTTAATGCCCGCCTTACAAGGGTCTTCCCAGAAGAACAGCTCTGAAGTCTCTGAAAGATAAAAACACGTTGATCTTTCTCAATATACTGTACACATGACTTAATCTATGAAGTTACAAGACTGCTACTTTAAGTCCAGGTGGAACATCTCAGAAAAGAATGGCCATTTAATCAATCTGTCAACTCCATGTCTTAAAGGAATTCCCTTTGTCTCAAATCTTTCTGCACTTGTCTTGGTCCATATTAATTAGGCATCTCAGAAAGTGCTGATCTAGTAGGTCCGGCTATAACTTGAGCCTATAACTAGGGCTCAGAGTTTCACTGACCAGGTATCATGGTCAGGGAAAACTCTGGGCCCTATTTATAACTGCAGTTTTTATAACACACAAATTAACTCTGCAGGACCTTTGATCATCCTTTGGACTGTAAGATACGTATAAAGCTGATATTGATCTGCCCAGTCAGGTACTGAGGAATGGAGGTTGATAGTGTTGTTTTGTGGTTGATGTGTACTGAGGGGGTGCTCACCGGTGCATTTGCCCATGTTGGACTACTCTGTGGTGGGCCTGCCGGGGGCCTGGGTCACCCTGGGTCACCCTGGTCCAGTCTGTCTGGTCCCCCGGCCCTTGGATAATACCACAGATGTTCTCCCTCTCAAAGACAGGTGTCCAAGAAAGTGGTGGAACGTGCTGGATCAAAGGACACATACTGAACATCGACTCGGCAACAGCTAAACAGCAATCACAGGAAAACTTTGACCTGATGTAGACACCATCCAGATCCACTTATATCTAGTATACAGTATGTGCCAAATGTTTTGCCTTTTTATCTAGGTTTACCATGTACCCAGGCAGCTAGGACAAATACAGTCACCTCCAAAATTATTGGCACCCTTGATAAACATGAGCAAAAAATACTGTATAAAATAAATACTACAAATAATGAACTACATGTAACTGACAAAATAAAGGAAACACAAACATAAAGTGTCTTAATAGGGCATTGGGACACCACGAGCCACCAGAACAGCTTCAATACACCTTGGCATAGATTCTTCAAGAGTATGGAACTCTATTTGAGGGATGCGACATCATTCTTCCACGAGAAATTCCATCATTTGGTGTTTTGTTGATGGTGGTGGAAACGCCAAAAAGTAATCAAAGTAAAGACATTTCATATTTTTTTCACCTATCTTTTCACCTAAATCCAATGAAATGGTGATAGTTGTTGTTTATTTCATGTTGAATTCACGGTTAGTTGACAACTCAACCAATTGTAAATCAAAAGTAGACGTTGAACTGACGTTTGTGCCCAGTGGGTGAGATGTCTTCTAGCCAAGGTAGCCAAAATAATGGGCAACAGGGTATTTTTATACATGACCCTAAGCATGATGGGATGTTAATTGCTTAATTCATTCAGGAACCACACCTGCTTTCAATATACTTTGTATCCCTCATTTACTCAAGTGTTTCCTTTATTTTGTCAGTTACCTGTATATTGTATGCTCAAACAAATTGGGAAATTATATTATTTCATACCAATACAGTTGCTCAGAGAAAGAGATTTAGTTTAAAAAAACATGTGTCAAAGTTATTGTCACCCATAAAGATTCTTATAAATAAAATCAAACAAAATTAAACCTGCATTAACATTCTACTTTTCTAAGTTCATCTCAGTTTAAGGAACTGTGTTATGGCCTTCCATGGCTTCCTGTTTCACTGGGGTATAAAAATTAAGGTAAAACGCATGTAAAATCCATTTGTCATCCAAATATTGTTTATCTTTTAAAAAATATGTTTAAATCATATTAGTCATGTCAATATATTTTTTTTAAAGACAGAAAATTCTTATTTGAATATGAATTGCAGTTCCACTATCGCACAGTGTTGGCAACAAATGCATTTGATCAATTTCCCAATAACAAATTCTAGGAAAATGTGATTTAATGTTGAATATCACCTCTTAATTAACCTGAGATTGAGTTTCAATTTTTAATTAAAGGGGAAATGTAAAGATTATTGCTTTATGAGGACAATTCGTGGGGCATTTTATGTGTCCAGGAAAGGGAGCCCCACAGAGTGGATGCATGTAATGTCACTTTACCAAAGCACATCATTGGCTAGTCTTTCAGCCACACCCGTTGCTGACAGGTGTATAAAATCGAGCACACAGCAATGCAATCTCCATAGACAAACATTGGCTGTAGAATGGCCTTACTGAAGAGCTCAGTGACTCTTCAGTAAGGCCAGTGACTCTTCAGTAAGCTCGTCACCATTGGACTCTGAAGCAGTGGAAACGCGTTCTCTGGAGTGATGAATCACGCTTCACCATCTGACAGACGAATCTGGGTTTGGCGGATGCCAGGAGAACGCTACCTGCCCGAATGCATAGTGCCAACTGTAAAGTTTGGTGGAGGATGAATAATGGTCTGGGCCTGTTTTTCATGGTTCGGGCTCCTTAGTTCCAGTGAAGGGAAATCTGAACGCTACAGCATACAATTACATTCTAGACGATTCTGTTATCCAACTTTGTGGTGACAGTTTGGGGAAGGCCCTTTCCTGTTTCAGCATGACAATGCCCCTGTGCACAAAGCGAGGTCCATACAAAAATGGTTTGTCAAGATCGGTGTGGAAGAACTTGACTGGCCTGCACAGAGCCCTGACCTCAACTCCATCTAACACCTTTGGGAGGAATTGGAATGCCGACTGCGAGCCAGGCCTAATTGCCCAATTTAATCGCCCATATTAATGCCATGTTCGACAAGCAGGTGTCAACATACTTTTGGTCGTGTAGTGTAGCAACTTGTATCATCTTGTATCTTGTACCATCATCACCAGAGCTGTGTAAATCAAATCAATCACCATTTACACCTCTGCCTGCCCGCCTCCTGCTGAATCTTTGTCCTTACGACTGCTAGAAGGTCCCTATTTTACATCAGGCCATTGTTAATCTCCATGAACTCTAAACAGAAGTTTTATTGAAAGAGGAAGAGAGAGCTGATGGAAGGGATGATTACATTGCATCCATACCTGTAAATGACAATTAAGTCTGTGGCTGATATACTATATGTCACATACGATATCTAGCCATTTTTACACCTTCATGAGTTATTCACAAATGTAGTCACTTCGGCCGATTTACCATCAAAGAGAACATTTAAATGAAAAGTTTCTGTTCTCTTGCCGATGCTACCATACAATGTGTCCTGTCCTTGATTATAGGTTGTAACTGGGACAGGGTAAAGATCGACCAGTCAAACGAAGTTGTCAGCTTAATACAGAATCTGAGTAGTTTCACTGTTGTCATATCTAGGACTCAGGTGATTGGTTATTGATATTCTTAGGACGCTGCTTTATTTTACTTAAAAAATAGGATCTCAGGGAGATGACTAATGATGTAGAACTGATTCGGTCTCAGCTCTGGCCATACATTCACCTTCACTGACCATGAAGTGTTCTGGATAGTTATAGCACTATGGCCTCTAGAACACTGCCACCATAGTCAGGTACTAGGCCTATACTGGGCCCATACCTCTACTATCAAAATGACCACAAGCATTACTACTCCCTCTGATACTACTACTAGTAGTACCACAGTACAGTACTAATACTAGTACTTCTAGTTTTAGTACTTTGGCTTCTACAGCATTATTGAAATTATTGGGTCGTTCCACCAATGTGGAGCCTTTTGAGAAGCATAACTTGGTCAAAACAAACTTTTGATTTCACCATTCTGTCATTAAGAGCACATGTTCACCTTCATAAAAAACATGTTTTCCCATCTCAAGAGGTTTAATAAAAAAATGACTATAGTAAGTGCCTATTAAGTGCCAAATAAAGTTACAGGGTTGACCGTAACAAGGTTGACAATTTCATCTTAAATCAGCCATAAATCCCCTTGTGACAGGGGGAATGGAAGGTTGTTGTGTTCAACAGGGAGTGAACAAGTGTCCCAATCTTTTTTTTTTTTATGTCAAGGCCCAGTGCAGTCAGAATTCTGTTTTTCCTGTGTTTGTGTTGTACAACAGCTCTGATGAAACTTACACTGGAAAAGTGTGAAAATGTTGATCAGTGTTATTTCCTGATAGTTGCTGGTTGACCCTACTACTAGTAGTACTAATCCTGTGATTCTGTGGATTTAGTGTCTGTATACTTGCCCAGTCATGTGGATCGTATACATAGGAACACGGCTGAGGTGATGGGTGGGGGTGGTGCTTCAAGAGGGGTTCCATACTCCTCAAGGTACTTCCTGCAGCTTTAGTTAATCCTCATCTTGCTGAAAAACTTCTGAGAAGTGAAATCACAAATGAGGTCTAGCCATGAACATAAAATGGGTGATGTGAGGGTTAATATTAGGTAACACCTCATATAGAACAATGAGCCAGATATTTCACCAGATGTATAAATGTGAAGCATCTTGTTGGCGTTTCCACTCACTACCAAATATGGTGATGAGTGGAAGCCCAGTGTCTGGCAGTGGGAGAAGATGGAGTGAGATCGACATTCTGCTAATTTTCTCAAGGATGATACATTTGATCTCCATACAGTTTTATTTTTCTAAGACTAGCATCTGTAACAAACAGAGTGGACTGCATTTGTAGACTTTACCCTTTGCCAAAGTTTCAAAAAATTGCATTGTTTAGAAGGAGTGCCAGGGCAAATTGAGTTATCGCACACGCTCAGGTCACAGAGTAGGAGTTCCCTAACAGAAATATGCAAATAAATGCTAGAATGAGCCAATAGGATCTCACTAGCTCGCGCTTGGCTCTGCCCACCTCCTTGCTTGTTCTGCCCTCTATGATTAATTTGCTCCCATTGGAAACGACAGGCTCTGGTCTAGCTTGAGTTAGTTATACAAATCTTTGGAAGCACTTTATTTTAAGGGGTCCTTATTACAGTGTAATAACAAATGTAATTACGCTGTAACACTTATTGTAATTAATTATAATAATTCATAGTTACTGTACTAATATGTAACTGGTGGTATTTGCAGTCTGTAATTACAGAGGTGTAACAACAAGTGATTGTTACCATCCTTGATTTAAATGTT